ATATACCGACAGAAAACCTAATGGGAAATAGACCGAGCCCCACTGGAACCAGACCCAGTTTGACCACTTCAAGGAGGTTCTGGATGAATTTCAACAATTTGACAACACCGCCGGTGTTTTCGTTGGCAACGAGGTCCTCACCACAGCCGATGGCTCTGCTGCTGCGCCCTACGTCCTCGCTGCCGCTCGTGATGTCAAGGCCTACCGTGATCGCAAGGGCTACCGAGAGATTCCTGTCGGTTATTCTGCCGCTGATATCGCTGATCTACGCCCCATGCTTCAAAACTACCTCGCCTGCCAGTCAAATGCCTCAGATCGTCTCGACTTCTATTCGCTGAACGCATACGAGTGGTGTGGTGACTCTTCTTACACCGTCTCTGGTTACAATATGTTGCAGAAAAATGCGACCGACTACCCCATTCCGATCTTTTTCTCCGAGACTGGGTGCAATACCCCCACTCCCCGAACTTTTGACGACCAGGCCGCTATTTTTGGCAAAGACATGGCTGACACTTGGTCCGGCGCCATCATCTACGAGTGGCTTGAGGAAACCAACGACTACGGTCTTATCAGCTACGGACCCTCTGCCAAGGCCGCCACCGCCACTATTGTCGAAGATGGCTACACACGCCAAGGGACTCCGACACCTGTCTCACCTGATTTCGGAAATTTGAAGAAGCATTGGGCAACATTGCACCCTGCTGGAGTCGCGCTTTCCGACTACAAGAAGTCATCTAGTAGTCCTTCTCTCGAATGCCCTTCCTCGACCAAAGGAGGCTGGGCCGTTGATCCTAGCTCCCCGCTTCCGACGCTGGGACAAACATATACCAAGGAATCAACTGCTGGAAAAGAAACTGGTCAGGGCACTTCGACTTCTGGATCAGGCAGCGCCACCTCCACCGCGTCTGGCAAAGGCAACGCTGCCAATTCTAAGGTGTTTGTTGCTGGATCGACCACCGAGTGTATGCTGATGGCCTCTTTCATTCTCTCTGCTGGCTTGGGCGCTCTAGCTTATCTGCTGTGATTGATGAACGCCGACTTGGATAACCTTATTAATATGCATTCTTGTTCTTCCAATGTATAGCATAGAAACGAGTCAATGAAACGATGTACCCGTTAGAACTTCCTCTTGGTAGTAGTACTAGGATTACATCCCTACAGAACTGACTCCATACTTGCTTCCTAGCATTGGCATTAGGTCGGATCAGTAGAGGTGCGAATCCCGAAAGGCTGCCGAGTCAGTGGGTCTGCGGCTGTAACCTTCTCAACAGTTCGGCCGAGTCAACTCTCATTTGAGATATTTGCCACGGCAATGATGACACTCAAAGGGGATGGCTTGAGCAGTTCTTGTTTGAGAAGGGGGGCCTATCTTGACATTCTAATAGAGAAAAACCCGACCCCTGTCAAAATTCCACACATATCTGTGTATTAATGGGTGATTGGGGTGGCTTCCGAATATCCACTACAAGGACAGAGTAGCATACGCGTATGTAGAGCCAACTCACCAGGCCAGACTTTATTTTACTCGCACCTATTTTTAGATTAAATGATTACAGGGACAGAAAGAAGGTTGAAATGAAATAAGCTAAATCTTTCTACGGGTATGTCAACGCAGATCAGAGGGGGGGTTGCATAAAGCCACCGGCATATGTACTAGATTCAGTGAACCTTCATACTGTCCCATCCAGGCAAAAAGTAACTAAGCGAAGATTTATCATTTCAGCCGCGCTTACTTACAATGTCATAGTTCTTCCTAGAAATCACAAATTTGATCGCCACGCGGAAGCTTGTTGGCCACTCACTATACATGCATTTTTCAACGTAGTTGTGATCATAATGACAAGGGCGGAATCAAAGCCCGCGACCCTAATTCCAATGGAAAACAGTAAATTCGAGTTTTCAGCATCTCATTCAAGTCCAAGATTGATTGAATGATTCCATATGTACAAACACATCGCATCAATCCGGCACTCTTCTCTCCCGATTGCCTGCCGAACCAGCATCGCTATTCCTCCCAGGACGACGATAGCCACCCTTGGCCCCGGAAAAGATTATACTCCTTCAAGAAGCCCTTCTATAAGACCTCTAATCAAACTCAATACTATATGTCCCACGCCGCGGAGATTTACAGCTGAGTCTGCCGCGCCATCTGGAGACGGCCGCATTTTAACCGCCATCAAACAAGAACATCGCGAGCTCGAAGCCGACGTTGATGCAATTCTAAATTCCTCAAGCCCCGACGAGCAAACCCGCTACCAAAACCAATTCACCTGGGAGCTGGCCCGTCATATGATAGGCGAGGAGCTCATCGTCTACCCTGCATTGATCAAATATGTTAAGAATGGACAGGTGATTGCGGACGAGGGCCGAGCAGAGCATCAGGACATCAAAGAGCAATTGAAGATGTTCCAAGGGCTACGATCAACGGACCCGCGCTTTATCCCGACACTTAGAGCGTTAATGGGTGATCTGGAGAACCATATTCGAAAAGAGGAGGATCAAGACTTCGCGCGCTTGGAGGCAACGATTTCCAAAGAGGATAGTGAGGCATTGACGCGGTCGTTGAATCAAACAAAGATGTTTCTTCCGTCTCGCTCGCACCCGTTGGCGCCGACGAAGCCGCCCTTTGAAACGGCTGTGGGGCTTTTGACGGCGCCGGTTGATATGGTCGCTGATATGTTTCGCAAGTGGCCGAGGGAGAGGAAGGGAAATGTGTCTGCATCTAGTAGTAGATAACGGTATTTGGTTTATTCAAGTTCATATTGCGTAGTAGTGAGATATTTGAATGAAAGAAGAGATATTTTACAGTCAAGTGTCATTATAATTGGTATACTAAATCCGGAGGCACAATTTGAATATCTTGGAAATCACCCTCGACATGCCAGTGCTGTGGAGTCTGCTGTTACCAAAGGAGTACCCAGGTATCCATGTCGCTGTAGTCGACGAAACTTGTTACTCTTGCCCACATTGCTAGTCACCGTTAGGCTTCCAGTGTTGATTTGCAAAGTCGTTTCAAAAGATCGCCGTCGTTTCCATGCCTTGCGAAATTGATGCTGCTCGTCATCCTGCTGTCTCGTGCGTAAGAGCAAAAAGTCACTATGCGCCTCCTTTTCTTCGGTGAGGTCTTGTATCTTCATGAGAAATAATATTAGAGTGGATTGAAATGATTGTTTTTTTGGAAGTAAAAAACCATACGCTAATCTCGACGAAAACTCGGAACAACAAAAGGAAACCAAAACATACATAGGCTAACCATAACTCTTGCTCCGAACTCCAAGCCTTCTGACATCTTGCAAGTTGCCTCCTTGCATCTTCGAGCTTTTTCTCCTGACCACTCGTCCAGCGGCACTGGCTGCGAACAATACTCGCCCAGCTCACCACGCGAGCAAGCTGCGGTCGTGCAGAAGGTTCGCACTTCTCTGCGAGCCGGTCGGGCTTGCAGCCGGAGATTGAGTCAAAATATGAAGAGGATGCATCCTTCTCTACTGACTCGTCGCCCTGTGCGTCGTACCTCATGGCTTCGGGGTCTAGATGTTGCTTCACCGCTACATGCAGGGCGTGCGAGACGTCACAGTGCAGGGATGCGTCCGAGTCGGGGATTTCGGCATCGTGATACTCAATTTGAGAATCGCTTTGTGAGCCATTCCCTGAGTCCAAAGACTGAACTTCATCTTCCTTTTCTTTTCCTTTACTGCTGGCGGAGCTTGTTGACTGGCGCCTTTTCCAGGGAAGGGAGAAGGGCAAGGCGCGATGGACGAGGGTAAGAACCGCCATGAGAACACCTGTTGAACATGGATGCAGTGAAAAGAAAAAAGATAAAAATGAATACCGAATAGGGCTCCAGCAGTACTGGGATCAATTTGATCTGCTATTTTCATTTCTCGTCTATCGGTTCGCCCCTGGCGCTCTTATATGCTCAGTTTGTCGCCGCGAGTGTTTGTGCTTCGTATGCATTGAGACCGACAACCCGCCTAACGAAAACGAACGTGCAGGAGGCGCTCGCACGGGTGGTGGGGGTGAGCCCGATGTACCTCATATGCGTTATTGTGCTTGGCTGCCCACGCGAGAGACACCAATTTACCGGGGAGTCCTGGTTGGTGCAGCCGGTTGAGGTCTGCGGCGTTGGTCGAGAATACAACGGGAGCCAGCTCTAGAGTCGCGCTCGTGTACCTGAGGACACAAGCAGTCGTACATATCTCGGGGCTTTATTGATATGACGAGGAAATATTGCGGGGATAGACAAACATGGTAGTATTGAAGACAGAAGGGAAACAGTCCGTGTCTCAGGGTTGTTGTGAAATCGACGTGATGTTTTCGTCTGATCTGTACATCGCCACCAGCGTGAACTTTCGGGAAAACCAGGAATCATGATGCAGGAGTCGGGCGTGGTTCGCTAAGACCTCCATCTGGCACAGCTGCAGAAGGCCAAACCAGGTACTTGAAACGGTTTAGAATTATGGCCGAGCCCAGACCTGGAGGTTGTAACAGTTTTCTACATTTATGACACAAGATAAATGAAGCTGCGAATACAAAAAAAAAACGCTAAAAAGGTATCGAGGTCACGCTGAAAATGAAAAGCCAGAATTCACATGAGGAAGGTATCTCAGTACAATTCCAATCCAATAACCGTGAGGGAATCATTAAAAAAAAGGAAAAGCCGCTAGAGGACAAACTACCGGCTTCGTCCTCATCTTTCCTAAGTATACGCCAAAGGAAGGTCAGAATGTGTTCATCGCCATGTATCAACAGAGGCCCCACGGTTCGCCTGGGCCTTTCGCTCGTCTCGGATTTGCTCGCCAATGATTATGCTGATCAGCCTCCTGTGCAGATCTGCGTCGGTCCACTCCACTTGCCCTGATCCACCATATTGTACATCAGCATGCGAAAGTTCATGTACAAATCGATCAATAATCGAGAACTGCGCTTCAGAGATCGGAACTCCATGGAGTCCATCTGAAGTCCAGATCCAATCGCCGATAATTTGGGCCCGCCCCGGTGCATCATAGTAGGGGGAACCGCTCGGGGTGGCGTTTCGCGATTCGGTAGATGCGCCGAAGAGCCAGGTAGTGGTCATTGGAGAAGTAGCCAAACACGGCGAGTGGCCTCGGCCCTTTCGGCGAGTCGTGCTCCTCTTCGATCATATTTGCAGGGTTATCTTCGACAAGTTCGCTTGAGATGCTCCGATCAAACCGGCTCCTCCCGCCCTCGTCCTCGTCTTCTTCTTCCACTGAAGAGACAGCCTCGCCATGCCCTTGTTCGAGACCTATTGATTGAGGTGTCCTTTCAACCTCGAGAGGTGATTGGAGGGAAAGTTCGCCCTGGTCAACTTGACCATCTTCCGGCTCATCTTCAGAGCCATCCCTAGGATCATCTTCAGAAACAGAGCTAGACTCGTCATCTTCGGAATGAGCAGGGGCCTTGAGCCATCTAGGTGTAAGACTGGTGATTCGTTGGAACCAGGATGACCCCTGGGGTTCCACGTCTGACTGGCGCTGATGTTGCGGGGTGATGGTTATATCCCCATGTGCCGGTTCGGCCTCGTTGGAGGCTCCATCAGAAACGCTACCAATCTCCTCCACATCGTTGATGTGAGCTTCTTGTTGGGAGTAGTTATGTCGGAAAATGGGGGATTCCTGTTCGTCTTCTGGCTCTCTTTCGGGAGATTGAGAGAGCGGTTGTAAGCGAACTCGTTTTCCAGGATTTCCTGACTGGCTTTTCAGAGCAGAGCCATTGATAGATGAGTGCTGTGTAGCAGAGCGTAGTATACTTCGGGGGGTGCTTGTCCCGTTGTAGTATCTTGCGCGATTAGGCGTATCATCTGCTGCGAGAAGGGCAGAAAGATCTACTTCGCGTTCACGGAGTTTGCGGATTTGTGTTTGGTTCAAATGACGCAGGTCATCCCTTTCTAGGTCCACGTAAGCTGGCGAGGAGCTGAGATGATTTTGAGACGAAGGGTTTGCCGCAATTTGTCGCCAAGGGCTAGCAGCCTCTTCGGCAGGTCGCTGTAGTTGGTTGTCCGAATGATGCGAGAGATAGCTGTTGTCACGGGCTTCTTGTTGCCAGATGTCGTCAAAGCCGTCTTCTTCGTCTTCCATTTCCGTTTCATAGTTGGCGATTGGCTCGGGCTCGGGCTCATGTACATGTTGTGTTTCAAGCTTTGGATATTCGGGTTCCTGGCGCCAAATATCATCATAGCCATTGTCCTCGCCATCTGAAACTTTGGGTTCGTCATATAAAGGCCATTTCGTGGAAGAGGGACTGGAGAGAACAGGTCCCGGTTTTGAATAACCGATATTCTCAGGGTCGACAGAGCCAGCAACCTCTTCGTCAGCAAATTGCTCGAAGCCCTCAGGCTCTTCCTGCTCATCTATGGTTTCAAATCTTTTCGGCTCCCGGCGCTCTTCTCCCCCGACGGACCCGAAATCAGACTGTAAATGATCGCTCAAAGGTCTGTCCTCTTCAAATATTTCAGGCTGCCTGCGATCCTCCTCGCCGATGGACCCGAAATCAGACTGTAGATGATCGCTAAACGCATTGTCTTCTTCAAATTCACCGGGCTGCCTGTGATCTTCCTCGCCGATGGACCCGAAATCAGACTGTAGGTGATCGCTGTGCTCATTGTCCTCTTCCAATCCTTCATCTTCAGAGGCATTTTGGTCGCTGTCGATGTAAATCATGCGGTTGGAATCGAGAGCATCTTGAGCATTTCGGCTGACAGCTTGTCGCTCCTCGTGCCATTCAGCCTCTCGTTGCGACCTCATCCTATCTGTCGTGTCGGTTTGAGGAATCTCTTCTCGTTCAAGTTGGGACGAATTGGGTATCACATGCACTTCGTCCAATTCTTCTTCCTCGTCCTCCTCGCCCTCCTCCTCGATATCTTCACTCTCTTCCTCAATATCATCTAGGGGAATTGGCTCCTTTTCGAGGGAAATTCCTGACCTCGCCTCTTCCTCTTCTTCGAATTGGGGTTGTTCTTTCCTTGGTGAAGATGTTGGAGGGAGATCAGGGTAGGAGACAGGTCCCGCAGGAGAGAGTTTGGCTGGACCATTCAGTTCCTGGCGGGCGTGCGAGGAAAGTCGAGAGCCTGGAGACAAACCATTGGTTACAGGGCTGGGCCTGGTTGAGCTATGGTTATCACTCTGGAGATCACTAATTCCTGGGAGTTTGCGCTTCAGCCGATCGCCAATTCGTCCATTGTGTCGATCTTGTAAGACTCTCGCAGCATTGTCTGTCGCTCTGCTAGCATTACTGCCTAATCCGAACTGCTGAGCTGAAGGGAGAGTATCCAAAGACACCATGGTAAAGCCTTCGCTTTCCATTATCGAGTCGAATTCTTCGTGTTCGTCCGTCGGGTCGGAGAGGGGCTGGCGATCATCATTTTCCCGTTCTTGTTGTCCCTGTGCCTCCCGCGCTTGGTTTTCTTCTTCGGCCAGCGAGGAAGTTGGGGTTGGGGTTGGATACGTTCGAGGCGACGAGGCCATGCCAGCATCGCGTGCCGATCTGACTGATGAGGATCGCCTTTCTCGGGTCGGCGAAGGCATTTTTGACGGGGTTGAGTTTATGTTTTCCTCATTGCCGAGATATTGCTGTTCTGTAATAATAGGCGTGTCGTATGTGGTCCTTCCATATTCCCGAGTGGCGCTTGTATTCAAGTGCGCCCTATTCGTTTGCATTGGCCCAGTTAGATCTGCGACGGGCAAATCATCCGCTCCAAGTGAGTCGCTATCCAAGCCACCATTTTCTGCAATATTGAGCGGACTCCAATTTCGCACTGGCTCAACGCTTCTATCCTCGACAATATCCATTGGGCTGAATTGGATCTGAGGCTCCTCTTCAGTCTCAAGAAGATGCAGCGGCTCCGGAGCTGGTGATGCCTCATCCTCAATCATGGGCGAACCCTGTATAGCTGGCCTAGGTGTATTCTTCCGCGGTCGGCCTGGCTTTCTCTTCGGTGTTTCTCCTGGTCGACCTGGTGTATTCCCAGGGCTAGCTGGCCAAGGTGATCCATTGAGCGGCTTAGCGTCTGACTTGCGCGGACGCCCGCGCGATCTCGACGGTGTTTTCTCCGCCAATGGACTACGGCCATCTTTCAAGGGGACCATTGTTGTAACGGTCGTCGGTCGGTGTCGTTTGCGCGACGGGCTAAGCTGCATTTCGCGCTCATTCTCCTCGTCCTGCGTCGCCTCGAGTGTGACTCGAATGCGCCACGGACTCACGTTTCCATCCTGTTGGTCCTTCAAGGGGAGGGAGATCTATGGCGACCGGCGAGTTTCATTGCAGGCGAGCCAGGAAGCAAAACATCGTCGAATCGGATCGAATGCGCACTCTTCGTCGGGCTGAGGCTCAGGCGTGGTCGTTTTGCAGGAGTTGGCTTGCGTGCGCTGAATGCAGGTGAGTAGAAGCTTTGGCGACCGGTAAAGGGCTTGATCGGAGACGAAATCAGGTATTCAGCGTCGCCTGGCGGGCCTAGGACATCGGGGGAGGAGCTTGAGCTGCGCGTAATGGCGGACATGACGGGCTCGATGCGATGGATTCTCGGCACGCGTGCCGCGAGGGGGCGTGGAGAGAGCGCACCCGTGGAATGCAGTGATAATTAAGGGACAATGGCCACCAAACAGCCAGATAATCTGTTCAACCACCAACAAAACAGCGGGGCAATGCGTAAACAAGTCTCCCGAAGCGGCGCGGGCGATGCATGGAGATTGGATTAGGTAATCGTGTCCCAAAAGGGTAATCTTGTTGATATGAGACTCTCCCTTTTCAAGTTTGTTTGATTTATCACGCCGGCATTATATTCTAATGTACTGCTATTAAACAAGCAGCCTCTTATAATTCTTCCTCCACTGGCTGCGCGGCAGGGACTCGATCCAGCTTTGTTCCACAAAATTGAGTCACCCGATGTACACAATCACACACCATCTCCACGTCTTTCTTAGAGACTTCTAATCGTCGGATGCCTCTCATATGCCAATACGTCTCTCGTGGAAGATTCTGGCCCATAACCGCGGGTAGTACAACCAGCTCGGTATCAACATCATCCAAATTTTGACGGTCTGCAAGATGGAGACCGTAGGCGATGTTGGCAACCCAGAACCCAAAATCGCGGTGACTTTTGAAAATACTCAACAAACCATCGGTATTGTGTGCATAAAGCCTCGTGAGCCATGCCATTCCATGGTTGTAATTATCTTCGTCACACTTCCAACCCTCGCGGCTGAATGTCTGATCTAGGCCGTCCTCAGCCTCCACCCTACTAATAGCGATCAGGGCTTCGGTGGGCTTTGGGAGTCCCAGTAATACAATGCCTTTGAATAGAGCCTCTCGTATTCTTCTTATCAGGGCTTTATGGGCATCGGCTGACGAGTAGGTCGGTTGGCTGATCAGGTAGAGATACAGCTGTTCTGCCATGTGGGGCTCTGAGGTTGTGGTGATAGAACTGAGGGTTGTTAGGTACCATTTGTCGGGTGAGATATCGGACGATTTGAATTTGGCTTCAATTTCGCGGAAAAGCTCATCACATCGTGGTTCAACCATAGCTCGGTCGATCCCTGGGGAGTCTATGGTGGAAGAAAGGTATAAATGACGGCTATGGTCGCAATGGAAGTGAACGAATCTTTTGTTCTCTAGAAGAAATTCTGTTTGAAAGCTCTGGTATTACGGTCGTGGATAATCAAATTCTTTTGTCTTCTTGAAATGACGCAGAATTGAAGTGATCGGTTCAGCAAACCTCGGGCTTCAAGTCCAACGAAGCCGAACCTTGGTTGTAGTTGAAGTTCGACAGGCATCATTAGGTCTCTAGGTTAGCAATATAGGAATTTGCCAAGTCCAGTAATGGCTCATGGTCTCTGATAGTCTTGGTCTTCCATACTCTAAGCACCATGATAGAGAGCATCCATCTTCGACCGCTCGTGTGTGTCTCTAGAGCTGCCGATCTTGTTCCTTGCATGCTTTGTCGACAAACTTGAAAGCTTGGCTCAGGTGACCTCTGGTGATCCTTGCCTGAAAATGGTTAAATCGCCGTATTTCATATCTGGTAGCGGAGTTTCTCCTTTCGAATGAGTAGAGATGTTTCGACTCTCCCTCTAGTGGATCTTGTTCAAGTTCCACTGGCAGCCAAAGACAGTATAGAAACAATCCCGGTCCACTCGAAGTTAGTATAAATACAACGTTGGACTTAAAGTTACTGTTTGTACTGGCTGGTTGTGCTTTGACCACTAAGCGGTATTCAATCGTCGATTTTCATGAAGGGCACCATCACCTGCATCATACTACCACTAACCAGCTGAATTAGACAAACGTGCGCGGGGTAGTAAGTACTAGCTAGTGTAGTATGTAGGTGTGATAGAACTCGGAATACCCAACTAGGTGGGCTGAGGAGCTTCCCCTCTTTTTTTTCTTTGCTTTTGCCTTTGGCCCCAACTCTCCTCCTTGCTCTTCTGACCTGTAGGTAGTAGGCTTTGTCCTCGGGGGAGCCAAACTTCAAGTTCAAGTTCCAAGCGGGGATTCCCCAAGGCAGTGCGCAGCGCTGGTACTACTAGTAATATATTTGATACTAGTTCCCAGATTCAAGTTGGATCACATAGATCAAAGAAACGGGAGAAGAACTTGAACTTGAATATGAATTCCAAGTTCGATCCGGACTTAAAGAGGTACTACTCCGCGTGTATCAAAGCGCTATATTTCTACGGAGCACCCAGGGACACGGTGACTCGATCTTTGATTTCGCTTGCAGTAATTATTTACTCCGTACCGTAGTGTAAGAATTATTAATTATTAATTAAACCCGAATAAGCGATCGGCATGTCATTCCCGTGAAATTGTGTGTTGTTGTGTTGTGCTGGTGTAGGAATGTGGTCTTCCCCCCACCGGAGAATTGCAGTTTTGCCTCCGTCCCCTTTCAACCCTTTCAACCATTGCTTGTCTTTTGCTCCACCGACGCCCCGAGAGCCTTGTTGTGACTTGTTGTGCCCTGCCGTGCTCTGCCCATAGCCTCAACCCCCCAGAAAGTACCGCTCGGTCTTCCTCTCTCCGCTTTTTCTCCCGTGCTCTCTCCCCGCGAGGTCTCCCCCCCAATCATTGGGCCTGTCTCACGCCACTGCTGCCGGATAATTCGTGAATCGGTAGCCTACCCCGGTCCCCCAGCCCCGCCCCCTAGCGTCGAGCCATGCGGAGGTAGGCTAGTCTCGAAGGATTGAATGACGATAGTTACTGGGATCGGAAAGGAGCTGGTTACCTTATAATGCGCCCTCCCCTCAATTACCTCCGCACATTCCTGTGCCCTGCGCGGATTACGCCTCGACTTCTGGCCGTTTACTGCTTCTTCTTCCTCACTGCAATCACTTTCTTGGCCGTCAGGATGCATCTCAAGTCCTACGTCACAGCTGCCCTATATGGCATCCCAGCCCTGGTGAATGCTGCTCCCTCAGCAGCTTCGACCTCGCAGCCTTCAACCCCTTCCTCGTCCGGTCCAGCCTCGGATGCTCACTTCCATGAATACACCATCAAGGCAGAAAACATCACCGCCAAGATCATCCCCTACGGCGCGCGTTTGACCTCCCTCCTGGTCCCTGACCGTGACGGTGATTTCCAAGATGTTGTGGTTGGATATGATGATCCCAAGTATTATCTCCATGACAGCGAGACCAATCGCACTTTCTTCGGTGCAACCGTGGGCCGTTACGCGAACCGCATCAAGAATGGCACTTTCTCCATTGATGGTCACGACTATCACATCCCCGAGAATGAGAACGGTGGGAAAGACACTCTTCACGGTGGCTTCATCGGTTATGATATGCGCAATTGGACTGTCACCGCTCACTCCGACGCGTCTGTCACTTTCACCCTCCTCGATCAGGGCTTCGAAAACTTCCCTGGCGATGTCATCTCCCATGCCACCTTCAGTGTCTCTACTGAGAGGTCCGCTGAGAACCCCAAGGGACTTCCCCAGCTGACCACGAAGCTGGTGTCACTTTCCCTGACTGAGAAGACTCCAATCATGCTGGCCAACCACATCTATTGGAGCTTGAACGCCTTTCAGAACGAGAATGTTCTGAAGGACACCACCTTGCAACTGCCCCTATCCAAGCGTTTCATCGGCGGAGACAGCATCCTGATCCCCACTGGCGAGATTCTTGATGTTGACACCGCTTTCGAGGGCGCTCTGGACTTCACCGAGGCCAAGCTAATCGGCAAGGACATCGAGAAGACCACTGGCCTGTGTGGAGGTGGCTGCACTGGCTACGATACATGCTGGATCACTGACCGACCGGCCGCCTATTCCGCCTCCGATTCTGTTGTCCCGTCTGTGCGATTGGCCTCCGACAAGACCGGTATCAGCCTGGACGTTGCTACCAACCAAGGTGCCATCCAGATTTACACCTGCAACGGCCAGAACGGTACCATCGCGACCAAGGAGTCACAGGCCAAGCGTAACAAGGCCAAGGACGGCAACTCTGGTGCCACCCATGTCAACAAGTACGGTTGCGTTGTTATCGAGACCGAGGACTGGATTGACGGCATCAACAATCCCCAATGGGGTCGTGACCAGATCTTCGGACCTGACGACGGCCCTGTTGTCAACTTTGCTACCTACCAGTTTGGTACTTTCTAAGATGGCAATAGAATTTTCGTTCTAGCATCAAAACATTACGATGCACTAATTCATGCTTGGGTTGTCAATAGGTGATTGCCGAAGCAATCGGCTCGATGGTGTACATAACTAACGCACATAGACCCAATGTGTTAATTTTACTACTCAATATTTCATCGTAATATGCATCCTCTGCTAGCCTCGAAGCCTCTGGTCCTCGTCGCTGATAATACAGCATATCATGTCAGCTTCATTTCTTGGCCTTCGATAACAAATGGTTGGTAGATAGACCGGCCCACGAGAAAGGTGGAGGTTATCGTCGTTCCCAAAATGGTCCGCACTATGATTTTGCGACCCCAAATTGCATGATTTCGATGTTTACAACTTCGATAGTATACTCGCTCCACTCTCTCCACTCCCTTTGACAATTTCATCTTCCCAATAGTTGGGATTGAATGTGATTTTGTTCAAGGGATTTAGACGGTGGGCCCTATTGTAAAGATCCTCGTATATTCGACCGTCATACCGGCCAAGAGCACTAGTGAACCATGCAATTAGCACTATGGACCTTTTATTGAATGAAGTAATCCTCATACCTGTCCAGAAGATAGTCTGGTATCATCCATGAGTCAACAAGATTTACCGCATGTGGTCGGATCCGGGACATCAGTTCTTGAACACGAGCAGGGAGACCGTCAAGGGCGGATTTCGTGACGGCATTGCAACGGAAAACTGGTTAACTCGGCATTAGTTCAAACTCTGGCGTATGAAGGAATTTCAATTTTAGCTCACATTCGAAGGCTTCATTCTCCATGGTATAAAAAGCAAAAAGCCGGAAGAGTTCCCACATGACGCTCTTCGTAGAATCCGAGAGAGAGCTGTTAGTTGATAACGATTCGAAAAAATTGGTAACTAGGATCGACTGCGATTGGGCTAAATAAATTTATTAGCGACGAATAGATCAATTGCTGCATTTTTTGGACTTACCCTTGCTCAGCTTATGAAGCTGGATGAGTAGACTGTTCCAGCTCTTCTTTTTAAGCACGCGTTGTTCATACACATCATATGTCTGTAAATTGTCAGAAAATCCGGGCTGCAGTGGTCACACCAGGCAGTCATAAAGGATTTGACACTCACCAAGGTAGTAGCACGAAGTTCAAAGCTTTTGACGACATCCCGATCACTTGCTAGCACATCAAGACCAGAAGGCGAGGATCCGCGATTTCGGATATATTCCTTGAAAATTGCATCGGTCTTGTCGCTGGCAGGACTGGCTAGCGAGTCAACAGCCGCAGTCATTTTCTTGATCAAGTAGGCTGCCACTTGCTGAGTGATCATCCAGTTATCACCTTCGACCGTTGGCTTTGACAGGTAGTCATTATTTAGCTGAATAAGGCCGCTCCCACCACCAAAGCCGTGCCCTCCCATCGCGCGACGACATGTCTCAACTCCGTCCGCAGCAAGCATAGTGCAAAGACTCTTTAGTCCGGAAGACATACTATGCATATGGGCCAAGGAACGAAAATCTCCTTGTTCAACATCTTCACGGGTACTTTGATAGATAGCACGCATCGACTGCCCAGTATAATGCAATGCAAAAGCAGTGGCCAGCAAAGGCAAAATACGAATCTGAACTGTGGGGTAGTCAAGGACTGCCATTTCTGGACCATGTTTGTCGCCATCGCGATCTTGAAACTGTCTCCGGATAGCGGTATAGCGCACCGCAACTGTGACTGCGCGTGCAAGTACGAGTCTAGCATGATGCACGATTTGTGCACGAACGTATGTCAAAGACCCGTAGACCAGAGCGGGCTGTTCAGGCTTTGTGTATATGCCAGTGTTCGGGTTCACGCTGGAATATCTCGACAACATGGCAGAATGAGGAATCCTATGTCGCTCGTCAATTCTCACTGTCCCTGTAAATGTGCACGGATGCTTACCGGAAATGATTAAAAAGCATGTAGGCGTTGTCCATTGTGATGTAGCCATATTTTGGACCAATATCTCCAACCACTACGCCGCTCAGGGGGAGATGTGTCTTCATATCCCTCACCTGAACAATGAATGGATGAGGGCCATGAGATACATATTTATTTTCTGAGCCATCCTTTGGAAGCAGAAGTTGCGCGACCACAATGGCATGGTTTGCAATACGGCCCAGACTTCCATTCCACCACTTGCTTGCGGTCAGAGTAGGGCTATGCAGAATGAATTCCTTGGTTTTGCCATCCCAACGTGCCTCCAGCTCCAAGCCTCGGACGTTGCTGCCATGTCCCAGCTCGGTCTGGGCATATGCGCCGACAATCTTCCATGATTCAATGAGTGGCATCCATTCTGCTCGCTGTGCCTCGCTGGCCTGTTCACGGATGGTTGTGATGAACATTTCCAGGTGCAAAAAAATAAGGTGAGACATCGTCAACCAAGTACTCAGCCATCTTATATTCATCATGGCTCCATTTATGCTGGTCTTTCAAACGGCGAAGAAGCTTCGCACGCGCAAGTCCCAGCTTGAATCGCTGAGGGCGAGACAGGTTCTGCTGCTTCTCCTTGGAGAAAAGTGGCTCTAGTTGCACGATTGACAGAATCCGTGACTGTCGCTCCAAGAATCCATCAGCCGAAAGAAGATGATGGCTTAGCTCCTTGGGCGAGATATTGGACTCTGCTCGCTCGCGGGCAAGTGTAGTAGGCCCATCTGGTTGACTCGGGCGAAGATTATCTGTGAAGTCGGGCATTGTGCTTGTATTTGTTCAACGCTCCCAAGTGAATATTTTGGTAGCCGATCAGCTTTGAATATGAATGGCCCGATATATTATCATCTTGCATGTCCACCCCTCAATTATTTTCCCTTATACCTAGGCTTCAATTCTGCGTTTGGCCAAATTCGCCGAATGCCGAATGCCGGCTGGGACTTACCCCGACGAGCAACGCGGGCAGACTGCGGGGAAGTAAGTAGCCGATTCAGATGAGATAATTTACAAGGGCAGAGAAAATAGAAGACGGATGAATTCCGATGGCCTATAAACTGCTGTGTGGAAGGAATAATCGGAACTTGATCGTTGACAACTTTTCACTCTGCAGGTGGGCAAAGGAACACGACTGGCAATGGATGACCGAACTCTCTACGTGCCTTCACACGAAGGTGAAAATGTTCTCCCTAACTCACCTTGGTTTCATAAGCTTCTCCGTTATGCCCAACGCAAATCATCGAGGGTGGCAATCCGAGATGTGAATGCAAATATCGAAAAGACATACCACGATCTTGTGTCTGACGCGCTCGCATTTCGGAATGAGCTCAGGCGGAGGATGAGCGCTCAGACACTTCGGGACCTAGCAGAGAATAAAGAAGTTTATATTGGCTTACTGGCAGCTGGGGGATATGAGTACACAGTTGGTTTCATTGCTATTGTTGCACTTGGTGCTGCAGTAGTGCCAATGGGTAAGTTCGCAATCGAAAGAATAAGAAGCCAGAGCTAAAACAAAACAGCTGCAGGACTGCCCGTGGAAGAAGCAGCATATTTCCTTTCCAAAGCCCGATGCGTTTCTCTGGTTGCCAGTACGACCAGTGAAGACCTGGCAAAGTCCATTGCTCAATTTATGGGAGAGAAGAAAAATTTCCATATTCCTTGCATATCCCCGATCGCATCCTTCTTCCAACCCATACCATTTCCAGCGAGCGAGATCGTGATATCTTCGAATCGGATGCTTGACATGAATGGCGCGAGTGCAGTGATATTCACCTCCGGCACAACGGGTCCACCAAAAGGCGCGGTGCAGCGCCGTACTTGGCTGACGGGAAATGCTGAAACGGATGGAGACTTTTACGGTATCATGGAACAAGATGTTGTACTCCACACATTACCAGTACATCATGCTTCTGGCGTGGGTCTCACTTTTCTTCCCTTCCTTACGGCCGGCGCATGCATTGAATTCCGAAGCGGAAGCTTCAACACGGCTTGGACATGGGAACGTTGGCGGCAAGGTGGCCTGACCTTCTTCTCCGGCGTGCCTACCATTTATATGCGCATGATGCGGTATTATGAAGAGAATATCGCAACCCAAGCCCCCCGAAGTACGCGATCAATATGTTGCTGGAGCCAGGAGCATTCGCACGATGCTTTGTGGGTCATCCGCATTGCCCGGCCCCGTCCAAAATTTCTGGGAAGACTTGCGACAGAAGCCAATTTTGACAAGATATGGTGCAACAGAGTTTGGTGCAGTCATCAAAACTGATCTCGATACCCGGGAAACCCCGCGAAACAGTGTCGGTCGTGTGGCTGAGGGAGTTTGTCTCAAGCTCGAGGACGACGGTCATCTTCTTGTGAAGTGTCCATACATGTTCTCCAAGTATGTCTATGCACCCTTTTCAGTTCGTGGCCTTTACTAATCTGATAAAATTTTTCAAAGATATCTTCATGATGAAAAAGCGACCTCGGAAGCCCACGATCAGGACGGTTATTTTAAATCGGGAGATATTGCTCGGAAAGAAGGGGACTATTACTTTATTCTCGGTCGCGCCTCGATTGATATTATAAAATCGGGGAGGGTACAAGATCTCGGCCCTTGACATTGAGCGTGAAATCCTAGGCCTTGACTATGTTTCCGAGGTGATGGTTGTTGGTGTTGAGGATGAAGAATTTGGCCAACGAGTTGCGGCGACAATCAGCCTTAAGACAGACCAGAATACGACCCGCAAGAAACTCAGTCTGGCAGAGCTGAGGGATGATCTGAGAAGCAAGCTCACGGGATATAAGATTCCGACTATTTTACGTGTGATCAAGGGCGAACTTCCCAAGTCAGGGACTGGGAAAGTGCAGAAGAAGATTCTGGGGCCGCGATTTTTCCCTTCTAACTACCGGGACATCCCTGAGATACAAGTTTGGAGCAAGGAACTTAGAGCTAGACTTTAAACTTTATATATATTTGAGTCAGACACTGATAGTAATATATGATTGCGTACAAGCAACGAGCATCAACTACTAGTTACTAGATAAGTGTACTAGTACGAGCAGGTATTCCAAGGTCGCCCAGGTAGATAGAACGTGATCGACTTGGAATACTAGTATTTTCCAAGGTTGGCAACTCGCTCTAGTATAAAATGTTACTGCGTACTATCTTCTGTAATCCACATCCAAGACAGATGAATGTATCATTATGTGACTAAACTATCCTAGTATCCAGGCGAAGGGTCAGATTTTAACCTTGGCGGGTGCAGAAGTCATTCTACTGTGGACGTAACTGATTCGCTGAAACTTTTTAATCGCCTCTCCCAAAAGCTCTTGACGAAGAAGTGCATATACACTTAGATGATTGCAAGTTAGTATAATTCAGTCTGATGGTCGAATGTGACTAACCCCATCTTTGCCTTTGGTGCCCATTTAGCCGCAAATTCAATCGCTGCATCCAGCATCTGCTCAGGCTCGGCGATAGCGTCAACAATACCATCTTCCAATGCTTCCTTTGCTGTCCATCTGTGCGCTTCGAGGAGCATTTTTCGCGCTATTTGAGGGCGCAACTTGAGTCGAGGAAGAGCCCCGATTCCATCGAAGTGCAAACCTAGGTTGACAGGCGGCATCGAGATGAACCCCCGGCGAGAGTTCATGATGCGATAGTCATGAGCTAAGGCAAGAGGACAGGCACCCCCAAATGTGTGTCCGGTAATCAATGCAATCGTCGGAAAGGGGAAATCCAGGATCGTATGAATGAGCTATATCCACGCTGTTAGATCGCAGTGCTTTGCCATATTTTTCCTTGAGGCATAGTAGCGAGGAGGCTAACCGGATAGAATCCATCTGTATTTGCAAACGGATTGCTGTCCGACTCATCTAATTCCAGACCCTGTTGCCATATAAATTAGCATAATCGTTAAACTTCTTCGTTGGGCGTCCTACAGTGCACCAAAATTTGGCATCGTTGCCGCGAGTTATAACAGCCCCCTCCGAATCAGGGCCCAGCAGTTTCTCAACTGTACGATAAGCTCGAATCATTTCCTGACAGTACCATGAGTTGAGACGATTCTCCGGGGGCTTCTGCATTGTGAGGACAAAGACATTCCCATGTCTCTCCAGAGAGAGGTTCCTGAATGTTGGGATATCCGACATGTTGGTTTTGCTTAGATTAAGGCGAAATTCAGTTTTCACTCGTTGCTAAGTCTTGTTTCGCCTCCTGGGATCTGTTTTGGTGTTCTGAAGCTAGCTTGAGTCCCCGCATCCCCAGATCATCCGGCCCACTCACTGTTGAATCCATTGCCGAAATTCACCGATTGCCGAATGCCGGCCGCGGCCTGATACTAGTGGACGCCACCGAGAAAATGCATTAGGTATTGAAGTGACCACCTTTGAAGGATCAAGAATCCGGGAATGGACATATCATAAATTACTAGCATTCCCTAAATTCACCTAGACGCATCGACGCATCGACGCATCGACCGTTCTTGGGCGTGTCACACCATGGCAGTGCCATCATTTTTCATACTCGGATCAGTGTTCCCGAAAGAAATATCTCTACCGACTATAAAAGTCACGAAAATCTTGAAGTTATGCGCATGAGCCTTGTTTGTTGTAGCTACCAGGGAGTATCACCGGCCCAATTCAAATCTTTAAACAGCCAGTCTCCCATACCCTGGTACTGATTGTGAAAGAAATCATCACCGATGCTCTGCGTCATGCCCCCCATAACAAGCCCAGTATGGGGATCTAATATCGTCGTAAGCGGCCGATACTCCTCAGTAGTTGAAGTATGGGTCTCGTTGAATGTGTCGTGTGAAATATTCCCAGCGTCACCCGCTGGGTACGCAGTGTCTTCGCTCATTGAGTTGGTTGTTGAATGCATAAAGTACGGCCAAGCCCAGGATATGTCTGGACCAAAGCCCTGAAAGAAAGGGTGATTCTCTCGTGGAAGCACTAGCTGAGCTTGATCGTCAGGTCTCGTCGTGCCCTCCTGTTCACTGGCGATACTCTTTAGTGCTCTGAGGCTACCTTTAGCAGATGACCAGCGCTGAGCAAGAACCTCCAGCGAAAGATAAATGGTTTGCAAGCTGTAGACTGCTTTCTCCCATAGTGACGGTATTTTGCGAACTGAGAGCAAGCCAATTCCGGCAGCAAGCAAGTGAAATGTAAATATGGGCCCCAGGAATTGTATCTCGTCTCTTGCTAAGAAATCTTCGAACATGCCTGCTACGAATGAAGACGCCAGCACCACCGCTGGGGAGGGAGAGCTCCCTTGGCTGGGACGACACAATATTGCGAGGCAGATAAAATACGCAATATGTAACTGACGCGCCTCAAAGCTGTACGGACTCAGTATGCTTTGTGGTTGTTCTCTAGGCTCTTGCGGCCTCGTGGAGGTTTGGAAAAGCCGTAAAGATGCCGGAAGTTCTCGTGTCCAGCGATATAGTTGATTCTCAATATTTTGCCGTATCTGTCGTGTGAGGGTTTTCCGCCGGCAGTGCTGTGTGAGATGACCCAGTATGGAGCTTATTTCAACATAAGCAATGAAAAGAGACCCATTCGAATTCGAATCCTGGAAGTCTCCCATGTAAGGAGGTGCTAGCTCGCAATCTTCGATACATACGGCAAGTGGTCGGCCTTGCCCTGCTGATATCAAGCAATCCCTGGCCTAACAGCGGTCAGCATAGTCGTACCAGAAGGGACTAATAAATGATGCGTACGAATAATGTCCACCAAAGGCGGCGTCTCAACGCAGCATCTTTTCTATCCATGGGTTCCTTTTGAAGACCAATTTGATGAGCCAGTCCTACTCCAACGTATCGCCAAAAGCCACTCGTGTTTGTTGAAACATGCTCAGGACCTTCCGGGTTGTACCAATGTAGGATGCACACAGCCGCGACCACGGTCAATGGGTTTTTCTCGTATCCAGACCAAAATAAGGCTTTCGCACGCCGATAAAACTGATGCGTTGAAGCATATGCAGTCACTGCAGGTGCAGAAGTAACTCTACTCGCAGCGACAAATATGGCTTGCAAAAGAAGCATCGACGGTTTTTGAGAGCCACTTTCCTCTAACCAACTGCGCTCCACAATAGGCATCCAAGGTGAGCACCGCTCCATAAAAGTATTGATCAGCCCATCACGCACCGCTCTTGGCGGTAGCTCGAAGGCTCCCTGTGATCGTAACAGTTGATGATCATCCTCCGTCGGTCCATCAGCATCTCCGATTGGATATGATCTGGCTTGATCCTCGTTGATAATCAAAGTATCATCGAAATAGCGGGATCTAGCCATAAAACTCATAATTGGTGCCGATAGATATGGATTTTCTGATGGAGTCTCATCGGATATTCCTGTTTGCGCTGCGATGGCCGAAGAAGCACTTCCACTTTCCACATAAGTGGTTGGCGTTTGTTCATGCAGCAAGTCAATATGAGTCGCATCATCCTCCGAGATTTCTCCCAGGGATCTATCAATCGTGCCTGTGGCTGAGATGTCTCCATGTTGATCTTCAGTCTGGCTTAAGCGACGCCTGCGGATTCTGTCTTCTCTTGTAGTGACATGTGGTACGCCATCGGGGTTGCGCTGCCGTTTCCTCTTGCGCTCACGCTGACTGGCATACTCGTCAGAATATACCCTAATTTCGGTATTTTGATATTAGTAGCTCATACTAAGTTACTTACAAGCAGGGCCATTGATGCCGCTGGCAGTTCGAACACGTATTTGTGTTGTCTTCAAATATGCAGCGAACCTGGTACAGTGAGCGAGGGGATTCTTCTCGGAGGGTCATTAATCCATACCTTCTTCTTATTGCAAGCAACGCAGGCTGTCGGTGCTCTTAACGGGGGTGGGCTAAACCGTGCCATTCCGAGATTTCCTGCACATTTGCCTCACCTTTAACGATCTCTTCAAGATAATGCAGGCCAAAAGCTATTGCGTTCGTCAGTGGGTCCGTTTCCCCCGCATTCAACTTGTTCCCGTGCCGAGGCTCAGCGACTTGATAAGACGATGAATTGTCTATATTCCATGATAACAGGCTCCCCATCTAACTACCGCATGCGAGATTTGTTCTCAAGAGCCGTATGGTCCACTTCTCATGCTACGGGGAAGGCGTGAAAATCTCAAGTGTATGTTCATAATAGGGGTATCCAGATGCTATTTACCGAGCAACATAGCAGATCAACAAAGAATTCCGTCAACATATCAAACAAAGATTCACGGCGTTCATGCCCATCCGGCCAGGGTCCAGCTGGATCGATCTCCAGCACGAAGTCCCGATCGACGGTCGGGGACAGGTTGCTCCAGGTCTCGAGTCGCACCGGCCAACCCATATTGGAGAAACTTCTCCCGTTCAATTTCCACCGTTCCACGAATCTTTAAGCTAGTCACTAGACTAGCTCCAGCCCATGGTCCCAAGGACTCGACTTCGCGTAAAATTCCTTGGATGGGTAGTGGTGTATCTTTGTTCTGTCGACGCAACTTCTGGTCCACAAAGTCGACCTCTGGCTCTTCCTTGGAAGGATCAGACTTCTCCTTTTCATCGTCCGTCGTGCCAGCCGGGATATTATCTGGAGACTGGCTATGACTATTGGTTTGGGATGTGATTTTCATTTCCTCCAATCGCTGTCGCTGTCGCTCGACGACCTTGCCTCGAATCGGGCTCCATCCATGTCGGGCAATCAATAGTCGTACTTCCTTCAGAATTCGCTGGCGCAAGCCAGGAATCCGAGCTCCACCGCCAACGAAGACAATGCGCGCCATGCAGGTTCCTCTTGCATCAGGCGGCAGGGAAAGGAGAGAATTGTAAACAAGCAAGGGAATTGATTTCTCCTCATCATCCAAGTCACACTCAGGGACATCCGGCGCCAGCATGACTTTTTCAACAGACTTTGCCATATCGGAGAGCGGAAGGTCTCGGTACTCGTGCTCTGGATTTTTGGGGGAGGGAATCGAGATCGTCTGGTCCGTTGCAGTCTGTGTGTCGGGGGCTTCAGCTTGTTGCCTGCACCAGGCAAATTTACTCACGACTTCCTCGCAGTATGTGAATCCCACGGAGATATCACCATCTGATGATTCCTCCTTATCATCATCCTCCTTCCCCTCATCATTATCATTACCCGATGCTAACCGAGTGAGAAAACGGCCCGTTTCCAACATCAAGGCTCGCATCGCTCTCGTACTCCGTTTTGTAACAGCCTCTCTGTATTCGTAGATCCCTGTCACTGTAGTTTCGGCCCATCCAAGGTCCACGACCAGAGCGGATCGCAGTCCTGCCGCTGTCGTAGACATTGTGGCGCTCGGGAGAAGGGTGATGCTAGGGAATCGCCAGCGACCGAATATAATGGATAGTAGTGACGATAGTAGCGGGTGTGGCATAAGCGCAGGGAGGGCCAGGACCAGCCGGGAGGTGCCCGCGTCGGTCAACAGGTACTGGTTGTAGGTTTCGCGGAAAACACGTTCGATCTTATCCTCGACTAGCCCCAAGTCGACATTCTTCAGGTCGGGCTGCCACAATTCATAATCACGAACCCAATCTTCCGCATTGACAGGCTTGGGTAGCGGCCCAGCTCCAATGTCCCCATGAATCCATCCCCGGTAGTCCGCTGCTCGCCGCATTTCTTCAGGTCCAAAGCGTTTGACGCATACAGGAGTACCATTTCCTTCGAAGCCAGCTCTGAGACATCGCGCTCCTATCTCGAAAATGATCGCATCGTCCTCGTTTCGAAAGGACGAGCCTGGTGATGATGCGCTCGCGAAAGAAGTATTCGCTGAACGGAGCGGTTGCTGTGGTGTGTGAGGAGAGGAGGGCCGAGCTGTCTGACTATGGCGGAGATTGGATGTCGCAGACATTTTGTGTTTGGGGTCGCTCGTCGTGGGCGTGAAGCTTGTCGTACTCTTCTTGCGCTCTTGTTTGCGCGGTTGTGTTTGCCCCTCGGAGCCAAAGAGATCCGCCGCGGTAAGGAACTCGCTCTAGCGATGTAGGGGACAATGCTGCTCGGTCATCAGATAAGAGCTCGGTATATTGAAAAGAGGTGCTAGTTGTCAGTTGGAGTAGTAGTAACTGATGGGAGCTGATGAATTGCTGGTGAAAGCTGGGGAGAACGCGGATCTTCATCGGGCCGTGGTTTATTTACTTTTCCTTTCCAGCCAAGTCAACCTCGCAACCTCACCGCACCTCACCTCACCTCACCTCAACTACCCCTCCTTTTCCTCCTCCACATGGCCCTTTCGTTTGCATGCTAAGGCGGCCTGCGCAAGATCTCGGGTTTTTGGCATAATGGGAATCCCAGGGTAAGTTCTGCTGAAAGGAGAACGGGATGTGCATCCTATATCCGAAGTGCCTAGCAACGCCAGCTGGTCGACGATATGCGATCGCTCGGATCAAATGAGAACACGCCTGCTAACAAGAGTAGACTTATTAATGCCCTGGGTGCAGGTGAGCGCATCGCACTGTCAAAGCTAGCCGTTTCACATCTCGAGCGTGAAAATAGGCCTATTCGTGTTGCGGTCGATATTTCAATCTGGCTGTTTCAAGTTCAAGCAGGCCGTGGAGGCAAGAATCCTGAAATTCGGACCCTTTTCTACCGATTGATCAAACTCCTTGCCCTTCCAATTCATCCGCTTTTCGTCTACGATGGGAGTAAAAAGCCCCCCTTCAAGAGAGGCAAGGCGACAACATCCCGCGGCCACGGGAATGCGCCGATTATTCAACGATCGAAAGATCTCATCAATCGCTTCAGGTTTCCCTGGCATGAGGCCCCAGGTGAGGCCGAGGCCGAATGTGCCCGGTTGCAGCAGGCCGGTATTGTGGACGCCGTCATGAGCGACGATATCGATACATTGATGTTTGGGTCCACCTTTATGATAAAGAATTTCTCAAAAGAGAGTGGTACCGGTACAACTGCCGCTACTCACGTTACTTGCTACAACATGAGCAATAAATTTCATGTTTCAAACATTCCATTCGATCGACCTGGAATGATTTTGTTTGCTATGCTTAGTGGCGGGGACTACTTACCATCTGGTGTACTAAAATGCGGAAGCAAATTGGCCGCGGAAATCGCGAAGGCGGGCTTTGGTCAAGATCTCTTAAATATAATCAAGTCCAAGTCTTCAAACCTTGACTCTGACTTGAATGACTGGCGAGACCGATTACAGTACGAGTTGGAAGAGAATGAGAGCGGATATTTCACCACAAAGCACAAGGCCGTGCGAATCCCACCTGATTTCCCCGATCGTGCAATTCTCGAATACTATGCCGAGCCGATAGTTTCTGCCAAAAGTGAGATGGAAAGCTTGAAAAGCCGCTTAGGAGAGGAGTGGGATCAGGACATTGATCCAATGGCCATCAGAAGCTTCGCCGCTGAGCATCTTGAATGGAACTATCGTTCTGGGGCCAGAAAAGTAATTAAGCTCCTGGCCGAACCACTTGTCTCCTATAGACTTCGTCTTAAACGACCTGTTTCAGGTGTAACGCATGGTACACTTGCTCCCGATTGTGGCACCCCATGGCTCCAAAAAATTCATCGGAGCCGTGCAAACTTCGGCACGGATGGAATGACTGAACTTCAAACGGACATGCTACCCATTGACGTTGTTGGTATTGACCTTCTTGCCGAGATACCAAATCCTCAACCACCATCCGAAGAGACCGGGCCTTCGCAAAATACGGGACAGGCAGTCGAAGAAGAGGATGACGGAGAGGCAGTTGGCGAGGTGGCACCGCCACAAACCCCTTCAAAGGCGCGAGTGACGAAACGCTTTGACCCTTTGGCCATTGAAAAGGTCTGGGTTTTCGAAACAATAGCCAAGCTCGGGGTTCCCGAAATCGTTAAAACATGGGAAGATGAACAGGCTAAAAAGGCCGCCAGCAAGGCTGCTCCCAAGAAACCCACCACTCGACGAACTGGGCCTAAGAAGAAGGGCCCAATTGACTCAGGAATGAAGCGAGGTAGCATTTTGAAATATGGTACGCTTACCAAGGAGAGATCCGAATTGTCTCCTCCGTTCAAGACGCAGCTGCTAGAAGCAGCCACATCTGCCTCGGGAAATGGCAAATCCTCCTCTCGCGACACTGCCTCGCTGCCGGAGCATATTGACCTTGAAAGATATGATCTCTCTCCCAGTATGTATTCGATGCAAGATACTACAGCTCAAATGTCTGCTTTGTCGCAGGAGGTGGATGATCTTGTCGGGACGTTTTCAAACCTATGCACAACATCACCGACACCGACATCTAAGCGCCGCCCTTTGGTAAACCCATTACGCATGCGATCGCGCACCAGCGTTCTGGGTGCCGGAGAAGTCGAATCAGGGGATCTAGACATCTCAATTGTCGATGCTATTGTTCCATCACCACCCAGACGACTCAGGGCAATTGAAACTAGCACTCCCGCTTCGAAGGAGAGGAAATCTGAAGCTATGAGACCAAATAGTTTGGACCAACACCCTCCATGTAAGGAGAAACACACTCGGCAAGAACTTGCTCATGAGATCGACGAGGTAGGAAAGGCAATTGGTTCATTATCATTGGTTGTTGCTCCCGATTGTGAAAATCGTGAGCATGCAACATCTCGTCGTTCCCGGCGGCCTATTTCTCCCAAGAAAACAGCCATTAGCGGCGTTCGACCTTTCTCTCCAAAGCATCAATCTTCTAGCCCATCTGAGTCTGCTATTCTGTCAGAGCTCAAGCGCGACACTGGTTACATACCATTGAAACAGAACTTCGAGGATCCCAAAGAGATCTCCAGATCCCCCAAAAAGAAGAATGAGGCTGACAGAAAACCCGCCCGAAAAATCGGGCACATTGAAAATGTCACTACATCAAATGGCTTTTGGAAAGTCGATACATCTGTCGATCCAGAAGCGCCACCCACGGCAACGAACTACTCCCAGGATGGTCAGAAAGACCAAAGCAAAAAGAAACGACTCCCTCGCGTTAGCATCCTTGATATGATTTGAAATGCCTTCATATACCCAGCAGCATACCCATCAGCGTGATTTTTAACATCTAAATTTGGCGTCAGGCGAAGAGAGACAGAACCATTGACCTACTAGCGAGTCGCTGATTTTGAAAAAAAGCCCAGAGTGCATTATCGGATTCGGATATGTACCATTGGAAGATATGCACATCAGCATCAGGAATTCAATCACCTCCTCATGAGTCTAAAATATTCTAACTATGTACACTGCATCATACTACTAGTAGATAGTACTAGTACTTTCATGCCGCACACCTGTACAAGTAACTTGAACTGCTCCGATACAGTGATTTCCCAAGGTTCGCTGAAGCTTGCTCCCCTGTCCTAGTGATAGTTCCGAAAAGAACTTCCAATGATCACTCCTAGGTACGCTGCCATCAAAGCTTGATTGAACACTTGAAAATTCTTCGCCGGCCTAGTATCAAAGCAAGTCAGCCATTACACGTGTCAAAGCCTCGTTGTCGGCTTCGAATATATCTAAAGCATTGGGCGGAGGCAACCCCGTCGGGGCAAAAAACCCCATATCCACGTCACCAGGGAGATCAAAGGCCTGGGGGTCAAAATAAAGGTCTCCAGCAGTTTCAAAGAAACTACTCAAGTCCTCGCACATGTTCGGCTCGGTTCCTGAAACAACATTTGAGCCCGTTGCCCAGAACGAATTCGACATATCATAGGGTTGATGCGACGCAAGGGGATTCTGTGAAGCCGGCGATGCCGACGTCAAATTCCACATATTCTGAGCTCCGGGTGTTGAAGGTTGTGATTTTGTGAGATGATTCTGATCGGAATTTTTATTCCCTCCGCCATGTTTCTGGCTCGATATAGGCTGTCGAATTCCGGTTGTTTCACGCTTCGGATTGCTCTTGTGCAGTTTTATTTGTTTCAAACTGCGAATAATCTTCTGCAGGCGTCTTGATGTCTGGGCTCGAGTGGCAGAGCGGCGCACGAGCTCCGTCGCTGTATAGAATTCTGGCCGACAGACGTGACGAAATGTATTCGGCGCATGAATAACTGCCAGAAAAAGGGCTGCTAGGGCTGATATCAGGAAGTAATTGAACGGTTCTGGACGCTGGAAGTAAATATGCGATACTCCACTGAAATGTTCAAGCATGTGGATAGTTCGCTTTGCTGTTTCCACCGCCGTGGATGCGCCTTGGGGATCTTCCATGATGTGTTCACTGCTGAGCAGATTTTGTCGATACACCAGGATCCGTAGCTGATTGCCCTGCAGGGCAAGTAGTACCTGGAGCATCATGAGGCGCTCGTGGTGCTCCGACTTTTCTGGTGCAGTTATAGAATTCGGTGTCTGGTTCGGATCGAATCTTAGCTCGCTTGGGATAGACCAGATCCACTGCTGCACTTGCGTGTCTAGGTACGCGCACTGGTCGGAGGTGGCCACCCGTGAGCGATTCGGCCAATCCATGATAAGCCCCCAGATCTTTGTGCTTAGCCGAGCATGAGATATCATACAAGCAAGATAAGGGGTAGAATCGCCAGGCTCGGGCAGGTTGGTATCAATATCAATGTCTTGAATACCAAATGGAAGCCCAGTGCCAAAAGACCATTTGCGGTCGAGTACATAGATGCACCAAAACAGTCTTCTGGCCCAAGTCCAAGCAACCTCGCCCGGGAATACGCCTCCCGTCCTCTGCCAGGTATCCTGACGATGTAAGCCTAGCTCCATTGCTGCACTAGATGCAGATCGTATAAATCGCCATGCGATGACTTCATCATCGCGATATGAATGAAAAATGGACTGACGTGGTGAAAAAAAGAAAAGGTCAGCTACTCCATTATTTTGGCAAGGCGTGGGACCTGGGTAAAGGGTAGAAGACACACCAGTAAAGTCATTATAAGAATTTCTTTCATATCCACCTCTGCAACCCTGAATCGGCCCGAAAATCGATCTTCCACACTATCCGCTAGTTGGGCAGCGAACTCACTCCGCCGTGAGACTCGGCCAAAAGAGCGGTGGCAAGGATTATTTTCAAGACTTGAATATCTCGGGCTGTAAACCAATCCTGATCTGGTGCATCCTGCGCCAAGGCTTCTGATGCACTGCTAATCTCATATATGCCATTCGACCGATAATATTCATGGACATATTCTCAAACGCTATCCAGGTCGACACAAGGATACATTATTCCAACACTATCCTCGTAGACCTGGACCAAATTTAAGGTATCCTCAAGGCTCAGGCTTAGTGGATCTCCAGTGGAGACCACTGGCAGAGAATCTTCCCCTCCCGATGCCACGGGACTTGGTGTATCTGAAATACCCATATCCTCGTCCTGGTGCTGCGTATCTTCGACAGAGGCATTCTGCGGTCGATTCAAACCAAATTCCGCACTGGTAGGGCCGATATAATGTGGCGATTTGGGGGCATTTAAGATCCGATGTAAGCCACTCTGTTCCGAACTCTTTGGCGTGGCTGCCGATTGAGGACTGGAAGACTCGAGCTTGATCAAACGACTCGACAACAGTTGTATTTGCCGCTGTAGACTCTCCAGCTGTTGATCCACGGCATGGAATCGCGGGCCCACTCTATATGCATGCTCAGTACCGTCACTTGCGTACGGACAAATTGAAGAACACCATACCGTGAATCCTTAAACTCACCCGGATGAGCCGATACGCGGTTATTGGCGTAGACACAGGAAGCCCCATCTCGGTCACATCGCGTACAAATTGTCCCACCGCTGCATTTTAGCTTACGCCGCTTACATTCGTTGCTATAATTGTTAGTATTGTGACCAGTTCAATATTGGGGCTCAGCCATACCAAGCGATTTGAGTGTATCTCGCTCTTTTCTTTGCTCGCTCCGATGATGGCGGCTCATCCTCAAAATCATGCTTCCCGGAGCTCATTTTTTGAAGGCAATAGTAGATACCAGACAATTATATCGACTCATGTATGCAGCAAAAGCAAAAAGGTGAGGTGCAGCTCGGAATGCGGAATTCAAGGCCGAGGTCTCCGTTTCGATTCCGATTGGTCAAAATTCGATCATGGGTGGGGCCATCTGGAATGCTCGGAGACAGTCCCTATTCAGCCCGGATAGAATCGATTTTAAGTTGAGAACGTAAGAAATATAGATACTATGGAAATAAATGCGGCTGGAGGAGCTTGGAAGACAATGTATGTGCAAAGAAACCTTTTAATTGGCATGGCTATCTCTATTTGTACTTTTGTATTTATCATCTTATTTACCTATTGAACTGGAGAATAATCACTCTAGGTTTCCTGCTGGAGTACTTCCTCGGTTGTACGAACAATAATGTCGAAGGCATTGCGAACATACTTCTCCTCAGCCATGGGGTTGGTGCTGACAACCCGAATGACATAGACACCATCAATCACAGTAGAGGTGATGAATATCTCACCCCTAGAGTTGACAAGCTCATACACCTTTTTAGTCAAACTATCAGACTCCTTATCCCTCTTGCACAACGCAATCGTGCCATTTGTTTCATGAGAGCCATTGGTCGTGGCCTGAGGGTTCTTCACGCGGAATACAGTCAAGCCGAATGCCGGTTTTGTGACAATCTCAAAGAGGTCGGACCGTCCACGAATCAGATCCGCGTAGATATTCCAAGGCCCATGGTCTTGCGAATATATGCCTTCATGCCATTCAAGCCGTAGCTGCGCACCACAAACCAAATCTTGAGGGCGCGGAATCGACGACCCAAAGAGAAAGACCAATTGCGATAGTCAATCACGGCTCCCGAGTCCGAATAAGCGTTGCGAAGGTATGCTGGCGTCATATCAAATGCATTGGTTAGATCAACACGGTTTCGAACAAAAAGAAGACTATAATTCAGTTAGCGTAATGAAGTTGCGAATTGATCAGCATGGAATACGGTTCAAGTAGCATACCTCGCGTCAAAGTTGACTAAAAGCCACTTGTGCATGTTCATATTGAAGCTATCAACACCCTCTGCAAAATTCTTCGCAATGTGACTACACTCCTCCGTGATCAGAGAAGCGCCAGCATAGGCAGCATCGACGTGGACCCAAATTCGTTGCCATTCAGGCTTCTCGCTCAATAAAGCCAGGATCTCGGCGTACCGATCCATGCTGCAGGAGTTTGTAGTTCCGAGGGTCATTGTCAAATGATAGGGAATGAGTCCGCTCTCTTCACACTTCTCCAAGACCTTTCGGAGGCGTGGGGCAGTCATCTCCATGTTGTCTACGAGCTGGGTCTGCACACTGCGGAAACGAGTACCAGCAATCAACGCGCCCTTTGCAGCACTGCTGTGTGTCTGGTCGCTAGCAATGGCAACCAGCTTTCCCTGGTGCTCGATCTTTCGATCCTCATATTCCGGAGTATCTTCCTCCATGCCATCCGCCAGTGCCAGCTCGCGTGCTCGTCTCTCTCTGGCAGCGGTAATAACAGTGGCAATGGCATCGCTAGCACTGTTTTGGATGACGCCTCCACCTTTGGAGGAGCTCAAAAAGCACTCAGGCAAACCGAAGGCTTTCGCCATCCAGTCCATGACAATAGTTTCGAGCTCCGTACATGCCGGGGAGCAAAGCCAATTAAAAGCGGGAGCATTGAATGTAGCAGAGTACATCTCACCCAAAATACTGGGGTAGGTCACTCCTGCTGGGAAATATGCCATGAAGTTTGGAGACTGCCAATGAGTCAAGCCAGGCTTGATCTTGGAGTCGATGTCTTTTTGGATGGCAGCCCATTCTTCCGGCTCGTCAGGAGGATTCTCTGGTACGAGTGAACGAAGATATCCTGGTTCCACAGTTGGCAGGACTCTCTTTTCAGGCATAGAATCAAAGTGGCTGATGACTATACAAATTTGTGAGACGGAGGGCGATAAAGTAGACATTTCAGGGGTTATAAGGGAACATACTGTCATCAATGGCAGAATGCGCAGCTGCCCGAAACTGTGACTGATCCATGTTTGAATTGCGGGGATGTCTTCGTTGTTGCACGCTGGATAATCTGGCACCTCACGATAATTGCAGGTCGTTCAATCGGCAAGATGGGATGAGGAAATTCCTATCCGAAATGAAGTATGAGTAGAGGAAAAGTGAAGGGAGCTCAGCGGTCAAGTTGCGATAGAATAAATACGAGTATCGGAACAGAATAAATTGTTCCCGCTGGATGAAATGGTGCTCGGATGGGGCATTCCGAGGCCGAGTGAACCAAACATCGGCGTTGCCCCAACATTAAATTTGCCGAGGGAACTTGAAGGAAACAATTGATGAGTGGCAGGAAGGGGAGATAAGATTCGTGGATTCCATGTCCGTTATTATTATTATTATTATTATTATTATTATTATTATTATTATTATTATTATTATTTTCTTGGTTCAATTATCCTGCACCATCTCTGTATTTCAAGTTTATTAACTAGAATGAATTGAAACCCAATTAATGATAATTTACACTTGGAACCTTGGAATTATTATTTCCTAAAAAATTCAATTATTATCGATAGTACCAATTTAATTCACATAAGGCTATTTACAGCTTCGAATTAACATCAAACTGGTGCCGATGCACTGCTGCTTTCAGCTCTTGATCAACAACCCTTGACACTCTCCCACCATCTTCGATTGCCCCATCAATAAACCCTCTCCAACCATAAGAAGAGTCCGAACTAGCAAATAAAACATTTCCATGCCTCTCACGCAGGGCCTGGAGATATTTGGTCGTCATCCCTGGTCGAAGCCACTCCCAAGCACCACGGGCAAATTCATCTTCATGCCAATTGTGGAAAACCAGCCTTTTGACTCGCATACCAGGGTGAAATGCTTCAAATGCCTTTTTTGTCGTCTCCACATCTGTCTGCGGGCTCAGGTGTACATGGGGCAGCGAGCTACCAAATGCAACAAGATGCGTATTGCCCGCCGGAGTGGTTCCGTCTCCAAAAGTGTAGGTCAACTTCCCATCTGGATAATTCGTGGCACCCAGTGATCGCATTTCAGGGTTTGCTACCTCTGCATGACACTTGACAACCTGATTGGCATGTCCAATCAAGGACGCTTCAGTCTTCAGGACCGGTAAAGTTGGCACAAATTTGATGGTGTGTAGAACATTCAGTGGAATAGTGCACACAATGCGTCTGGCTCTGAAAGTAGATCCGTCTCTGCTCGTAACTTCAACCAAGTCCCCATTATCATTCACTGTAGCCACGGCAGTTGAAAAGCTGTAATCAACCTGTCCAGTGCCCCGAGCTTCGTCGAATATGTGTCTTGCGAGAGCTGATTGACCACATCTTAACTTGTAGGTCAACCCAATCGCCATGAAATCAGCGTAGTTGTAGTTCATCAATGCCCACCACCGCAGCAGCTCAAAAAACGATGCTTCGTCCCATTTTGCACCATGCGTTATAGCCAGGAACCCTTCGAACATGTTCTTTTCAAGGGGTGTCAACTGAGACGCGACTTGGGTCATTCTGTCTGCCATTGACATCTTATCGCAAGACAGAACACCTTTCATATTGAATTCGATATCGTGTGGATATGGAATGATAGAACGAGCGAATTGACCGTCAACATTTATAAACTTCTTGAATGCCGACTCAATCACCTCATCCTAGGTTGCCACCCGGTTAGCAAGGGGCAATTCAATTTGAATTAGAAAGAGGGAGAGCCTACCTCTTCATCATGCGAAATGTGAAGTAATTCTCCGTCCATCATAACAGTGACTCGCGCACCACCCTCCACGTTCTTCCTGGGCGAGACTTCCAGTTGTCCCGTCATATCATATCGTCGCAGCTCGTTCCAGATAAAGGGCTGATTCCAATGCACCCAAGTACCGCCCATTTCATAGGGGTATCCGTCGATATTTGAAGACCATGAACGACCTCCAATCCGATCACGAGCCTCCAATAGCAAGACTTGATTGTCGGCAAGCGCGAGATTGCGCGAGGCCGTTAGTCCAGCATAACCGCCTCCAATAACTAACACATCATAAATTTTCCCCTTGTTGCAATGAGAGGATGGCTGTATAAGGCCCAAAGTAGGCACGCCTGCGACAAGGCCAGTTGCTTCGGTCCATTGGAAGCCATCACGGCTAGGTTTAAGTGAGGAATCGCGCATGGCCCGTAGTACTAGGATAGAGAAGATAGATTTCCCTCAATGATCAACTATTTCTTTATCCCATCAACTTTAAACCTATCTAATACTATTTATACTCCTGGTGACCTTGGAAATGCTTGGTGGGCCGGGCCATTGTTTAGTTACCCGCCTCTAATCGGGGTCGGATCGCCAATTCCGAGCGCCGACCGAGTTTCCGTTCGATCGAGCCCTAGCTTGGCATTCCCTGGTGATCATATCTCTTGTCGTATGATTGTCGCGGATAATGGGAAAGTACATGCGATGCGAAGAGATTATTCGGCAAATATCGAGAGAACCATCGTCTGGGCCTACTACGAGTCACATTTAAGTTTGGGGAATTGATTCAGGGGAGATCGTGGTTCAAATATTCTGTTCTCTAGCTGAGAAAACGATTAATCACAAGGGGGTAACAATATTCATAGTGTGGCGAAACAACATCGACCGTTCGCCCTGTCTAAGCCAGAATTCGAATCCGATGCAATGCCATGCCCAGGAAAGCTAAACATCCAATCATCTAAGCATTCAACACCAGTACATGAGAAGAGATGTGCCTGCTGTGCCATAAGGGAAGAAAATTTATAATAGAAAGAAGGAATATGTTGTATTTAGCCAAATACTTTGAGGAATCCCCAAAGTCCCAGCCCACTCAGAACTGGGATGGTCAGGTTGTCGTCCCAGCCCCAAAGATCAATGAACTCGCTGCCAGCAGCCACAACACCAGACACGACGCTCATCGCGCCAAGGGCCAGTGGGCCAGTGATGACACCAGCGGATGACGGCTCCATGCCGATGAGACCTCGAACACAGTCGGGAAGTAAATTCAGACGGCCTGTGAACATAAATGCGTCTTGTGGGTCGTTGGGGAAAGCTCCCATGTAGGGAACGAACCAGCCCCAGAATGAGGCAGCAGTGGCAACGCCAACAGCCCAGGCAGCCAGAGTTCCAGCCAAGCTCTTTCCGGGTCGAAGGCGAGGAGTGTAGCGGCCGTAGATACGGCCAAATGTAGATGCGGCAGTATCACACCAACTGAGAAGAAGCACGCCCATGACACCGACGTCCTTGGGGAAGAAACGCAGGACGACGTATGCTCCGAGGAGATACCAAATCACGCCATTATAACCAGAGACCTCGGTCTCACGCATGAGAGCGCCCATGCAGCGAATGTAAAGTTTGTTAACCTTCTCCGAGCGATGACGGACAATATCAGTCACTGCGATTGGAACTAAAGCAGAAAATAACACGGGGGTAATCTGCAGTGTCTGAACCCCACGGCTATACAGACCCAGAGTCAGAAAGCCGATTGACACGTGGAGAAGTTTGCGGGGGATTTCATGGCGGTGAATGAAGTTGCGATAGCGGGAGTGTAAAGGAATGAGACCAAGCGGTGATGGTGATCGTGATATATCGCGCGCGCCATCGGGAAGCTTGGGCGATAAAAAGCCATTGGAGGCTTTACCGTTGGGCGGCGAGGCTGGGATCATGGGGTTGGACCGGCGCTGTCGCGTTGATCGGCTCGGGGTAGATTCAGGTGGACTACGAGATCTCCCTGATCCTGAACTCTCTTCTGAGACCCCCGAAGGGTTCTGTCGGCGAGCTGCTGAGCGTGTTGTGGGCGCAAGATATCCATCACGTGCGTCAGATCTGTCGGAGAGGGAGGGTGAGGGAGAGATGACTCGGGGGGTCTCTGGAACGTTGTTTGGCGTCGAAGGCATATTGGACGGTCGTACGGCGAATGGTGGAAGTGCTGGGGTATGAACGAGACCAAGCAATGGTCGAGCACAAGAATTCACGGTGTCGCTAGTAAGACTGCCACAGGGTATCAATGATCTTCCTAACGACGGAATGATGGGCGATCTTTCTGGGCACCCGCGCAAGGTCGATCAGGGACAATAGGGTGTTGAAACACAGAGGTAAATTGTAGCGCATTATTGAGTGCACAGGAAAGGGGAAGAGAATGCCCGAGAATTGAACGAGGCAGTGTTAGACGCGAAGTTTAAAAAAAGAAAGGTCCTGCGAGCATCCGGCAGTGCCGCGGCCACGAAAGTTCGGGGCCGGGGGTAATGGGTCACGTGTGGGTCTTATCGATAACAATTTGCATTCGCGGGTTTTTTTTTTTTCTGCGGAGATGGACTTGGAGATCGCGATCAACATCTTCAAGGCCCTTGAATTTTATATCAAACTAGGGTGAAAATGGTCCCCAAGCCAAAACAAAAGCCCAGCACGTCTTCCCGGACATGGGATGGCCTCAACCCCCCACTGTCGCAATGGGCTCTCGACGCCGTATCCTCCATGGGCTTCACCCGCATGACCCCAGTTCAGGCTTCGGCCATTCCGCTATTCATGGCGCACAAGGACGTGGTTGTGGAAGCTGTTACTGGTAGCGGAAAGACCCTATCCTTCCTGATTCCCGTGGTGGAAAAGCTTCTACGCCTTGATGAGCCTCTCAAAAAACACCATATTGGAGCAATCATTATCTCCCCAACAAGGTAAGCTTCGGCGCGATTGTTGAAGAGATTCTCCTTGCTAATACTTATTCTTTTCTTAGAGAACTTGCGTCGCAGATCTATCAAGTCCTTTTATCACTACTCGAATTCCACCCCGCATCTGCGGCGGCGATTAATCCACCCGAAGGAGATGCGCCTCGTCCTAAAACCTCATCTTCCACCCTAAAGGTGGTCCCCCAGCTCTTGCTAGGCGGCACAACAACCCCTGCGGAGGATCTCAGTTCATTCCTCAAGCGATCACCGAACGTTTTGGTTTCCACCCCAGGAAGACTGCTCGAACTTTTGTCGTCGCCCCATGTACACTGTCCGCAGTCATCGTTTGAAATGCTGGTCCTTGATGAGGCGGACAGGCTTCTGGATCTCGGCTTCAAGGATGATCTTCAGAGGATCCTCCGCCATCTGCCCAAGCAGCGAAGGACGGGTCTTTTCAGTGCCAGTATCAGCGAAGCCGTCGACCAAATCGTCCGTGTGGGTCTCCGGAATCCTGTCAAAGTAGCTGTCAAGGTCAGGGGCGGCTCCGGAGTTAAGGACAAGCGCACACCAGCAAGGTATGTTGATCGTGGTTATTCAGCATTATTCGATTTCCCAGTTCTGACATTGCTATCAGTCTGCAAATGACTTACCTTACAACACCCCCGGCGCATAAATACTCTATCCTGAAACAAATCCTCTCAACCGTCCAACCGACACCCCAGAAGACAATCTTCTTTGTTTCAACGTGTTCAAGTGTTGATTATCTTTCGATGATGCTTCCACTAATCTTGGGAGACGAGTTTTTACTGGTTCCGCTGCATGGCAAACACGCTTCCAACGTGCGCCAAAAGAACTTTACTCGCTTCACCACCGCTGCCACCCCCTCCATCCTTCTTACGACTGATGTCGCCTCTCGGGGTCTGGATATTCCATCCGTTGACCTGGTCGTCCAAATCGATCCTCCCTCTGACCCAAAAACTTTCATCCACCGATGCGGTCGTGCCGGGCGTGCCGGACGCCGAGGTCTGAGTATCGTCCTACTTCACCCGGGGCGAGAAGAAGACTATGTTTCATTCCTGGAGGTTCGCAAGACCCCAGTGGCTCCCTATAATCTCCCCATTCCTTCCGACGATGATGCTGCTGCTGCAACGGAAGCCGTCCGCAAGATCATGCGACAAGACCGCAGTCATTACGATAAGGGCCAAAAGGCCTTCGTTAGCTGGCTTCGAAGTTATAGCAAGCACCAGGCAAGCAGCATCTTCCGAGTCGCAGATCTCGACTGGGACGCCCTTGGCAGAGCATGGGGTCTGCTCAAGTTGCCCAAGATGCCCGAGCTGCGTAGTTTTACTGGAGACCGCACATTGGGCGTCAGTCTAGACTGGGATAATTTTACCTACAAGGATAAGCAGAAAGAAAAGCGGCGCAAGGAGATGATGGAAGAATATGCAAGCCCAGGCCCAGGCCCAGGCCCAGGGTAACCAGGAGGACTCCCGAAAGCGACGTGCGGTTGAGAATGCCTCTTGGAGTCAAAACCAAGAAGCACGAGATAAGAAATTCAAACGCAGAGAGGCCAAGAAATCACGAAAGGAAATGGAGAGATGGGAACAGCTGCCAGAGGAGGAGAAACAAAAGGCGCGTGAGACAGAACGCATGATTGAGGAGATTAGGGCAAAGAATGAACAGGAACGACAGGCAAGAATCGCAGCGAAAGAAGATGCTCCAAATGCAAATGGCAATGGGGAAGAATTCACAGGTTTCGACTAAATAATTACATTATCCACAATGAATTGATCACGTCCCAAGACATGTCCATCTAATTTCCTTTGTGAGAAAGAAGAGAAGTTGATTGAATTTGAAACAATTAAAAAAAAACCCGCCACAAATGATAAGAATGCAACTTCTCAGGTGTCATCAGTCATGAAGTAAATCAGCCCACAAATACTCAATACAACTTCTTTTTATGGTACATGCAAGCGCACAAGAGCCCCAAATCGAGTCAATTACTGGGGTCGTGAATCCCATGCAGACATGTCAACGGGAGCACCGTCAGGCTTGCTCATGGATGTCGCGAGCACAGTCCGCATCGCATTCAAATCTATCTCTCGTTGAACCGGGTCATTCCAGGCTTCGTCCGCAATGGCAATATCCTCATCGGTGAGATCGACTCCATGGGAGCGAATCTGATCGATGAGACTGATCTTCGGCGGCCATCTCAGCTGGCGCAAGTCCCCGCTGGGGCATTGCCTGTAGAGCCAATCGGCGTTGGCTTCTCTCTCTATTTCCTCAAATGTGTCAAAAAAGCGGGGGGGGTTCTCGGGTGCTGGCTGGTTCTCGGGTGCTGGCTGGTTCTCGGATGCTGGCTGGTTATCAAATGCTGGCGGCGGAGCGGGTTCTTGGCGATCGAAAACAGGAGGGGCAATGTCGGCCTGGGAAAAGGGCGAGGTACGAGTCATGCTGGAAGAGAAGCGGTGAGCTTCACGCAGACGACTCGGGGTCTTCGGTTTGAATTGTTCAGCTTTGGTGCGAGCGCGGGTCAACGGCGATTCATCGTCCGAGTCGGAAACTGCGGCAGCAACTTGATCATCAGCGAGTGTACCGTCTGGGTTGAAATTCACAACGGCGTCCGGAGGTTCGTCCAAGGGGTCAGACGTAAGGGGAATTGAGGTTTCATTGTTGCCTGTCGCATTTCTGATGGCTTCTCCATAGGGGGGGAGAAGATCATCTTCACCAGAAATTTGAGAGGAACCTAGCAATGTCGAGTTGGTAGGATCTTCACTTTGGTTGTTGATCGTTCCAGGGGCTCGTCTCATAGGTCGGTTTTCGCGCTCTCTGCGCTCTCTGCGACGCCTGCGATTCCACATGGCAAAAAGATGAGCTTGAGACATACCGTTGACAATGCCGGGCCCGAGCTCTCTTGCCTCGGCGAGGTCGGCTTGTGTGGGCCAGTTTATCGTGTCACGAGACACGGAATTCGAGACTTGAGTTGGATGGTCAGTATCTGAGACGTCCATCATTTCAACATCTGAAGAGCTGGAAGGGACTTCAAATGTCCCGTGTGGATTCGGGATAGAATCTGGTCCTCGAGTGATCTCCTGCGGAACTGCTGGGGGAGAAGACGGAGGGGAAGACGGAGGGGAGGAACTGTAGGGAACTTCAAATGTTCCATGTGGGTTCGGGATGAAACCTGGACCTCGAGGGAAACTCCTCCGGAATCCTTGGAGGAGAGGATGGAGGTGAAGAATTGTGGGGGACTTCGGATATTCCATGTTCATTCGGGGTGGCAGTCTGAGAGGTCCGGTGCGTAAATCCGGGGGGGCGAAGGGGTGGGGAATAGTATGAAAATGATCCTGGGACCTGGTACTCACCAGGCGTATCAGAACTAGGATCCGGGTGCACAGCATTCGAATCTGTGGCGGTTTGGGCCTCGGAGTGAGCCTCGGCTTCTTCTAGCAAACGACTGGATTCGATCGTCTCCAGAGGGGTCGGTTCATATGTCTGCCGGCGGTTTGGTTGGAATCCAGGTTGTTGTGAAGGCGACGAAGCTCCAGCGCAAACTTTCGTGGATGAACGGTGAGTAGAACGGCGACTGGGCCACTTTGGTTGATCAACACGGATTTTCTTGGCGGAAGGTGCGCCAGCTTCGGCATGTTCTTCCTCCTCGGCTTTGCGCTTTTGCTCTTCAGCCTGGCGCTTTTCCTCTTCGGCATACTCTTCCTCAGTGAAGACAAAAAAGTCATCGTCCATACCGTAGCTACTTCCCTTCGGGTTTGGAATGTCAGTCGGGGACACCTCACGCTTGCGCTTCTCAGACGTGCTTTGGTCTGAGTCCTTTTTGGAATCCTGTTTGGAATCCTTTCTCCCGTAGCAACGGGCTTTGAGCTCGGGGTCAAGTCCGCTTGAGTAAAGAGAGTATGAGCGAGTCGGTCTCAGGGGTGAGTACATGACGATTTGAGGGTTTCAAATCGGTTTGCGGCGGAGCAGGCAAATTTGACGGAGCTGGAGACAACATGGTATTCGCCGTTTGAGCACCTAAGATATCAATATTAGCATTGGATCTAGCAGTGCGAAGCATGATTACTTACCAGGGCTTTGTGCCTCAGTCGGCTGATTGCCGGCATATCGATCACGAATATTCGTCCATCGTCGAGAGATATTGTTGAATGCCCATCTCACGATACCAGGAGAAGCAGGCGGGTTCTCTGTAAGGGACTCTGCACCGGCTGTCGGAATGTTCTCTGTCGTAAAGGCATCCTGGTTCAAATGAGCAGTACGAGCTGCAGGCGCGGTCATGGGAGGACCAAAATGTGCGGTCTGGGGGGTTGTTGGGTTAGCAGTCATAGGCACATCTCCATCACTTTCGTGCTGGGACAAAAGCTCGGGTAGGCGGTACAAAGTCCGGTCGATACGACCGCTGGCCTCAGTGCGACGACGACGAGAGATAGCGGCGTAAGATGATCGGGTTCGGCGAATCGGGGTAGTCTTGAAGGCCTTTTCTACCCGGTTGTGGTTCGAGGGACTATTCGAAGGGCTCATGATGTGGTAGGCTGGTTGTTTGTCCTTGCGATATTGGCGTTTCGGTCCGATGGGGCCCCATTTTGTACCTGTACGGGATGGAGCTTTGATCAGCATTTGGTCCAGGTTGGAATATCGCCATTCGAATTCTTCCTCAGCAACTGGGCTTCGGGAGCGACGGGAAGGTGTCAAGAGAGAAGCAACTTTTCGCAGGGCCCGAGAAAGACAAGACCTGACACCTTTGTGCCCAGGAACCACTCGGTGGGTCGAGACATGTGGGCTACCAGAAGGAGCCACATGCTCGTCAGAACGAGGCTCAAGCCCGGCTGATCCATGCTGTAGCTCCAGCGGATGGATATCAGAACCGTCGGGACTTGAGCCTCGTTCCGACACCCGATGAGTGGTTTCCTGGGGCAAAAGGAAAGGCCCAGGCGCAGGATCCCGGCCTGCAGCGAACCCATGGAACCAGGGAGCCCCTGGTACGAGGCGAAGCCGGGGTATACGCTGCAGTTCCGAGGAACCGCGCTCCAGTTGGAGGGGCCGAATTGCAGGAGAGTCGGAAACCATGACTGAATCGGAGAACGAAGTGTCCAGGGAGTAGAAAGTGGCGGGGTATGATTCCCCAGTCGATGGAGCAACAGCTGCCGGCATTTCAAAGGAATAAAGCTCCTCGATAAACAAAAAGGGAGCCGGAAGCGGTGCATCAGGGGAGGAGGGGATACGAAGAGGAGACAGTCGCTCGGGGGTGAGTCCATGGGGTAGAGAAACGGGCACTCCAACGGAAGGGGATCGGGAAAGCACAGATCCGTTGGGAGAATCTCGAGAAAGAAAGTTCAACTCACTATTGGCGGCAGTGTCGGGAATCTCGTCGCCGTCGTTTGTTTCGACGGAAGGGAGCACGGAAGTGGGCTGTTCAAACGAATTGACAGCGGCCTCGAGGGCCTCCACTTCCGCGTCCTGAGGTTGGCCTGTCGGCCCACCATTGACAGCAGATTCGCCGGTCAAAGCAGCATCTTGGTGTTCGATCTCGCCAGCTTCTCTGGCTGACGGACGGCCGGGCTTCTGGAGCTAGTTAGCTGCCAGATCTTCTCGAGGTTTCATATTTACTTACCTTTTTGCCCTTGGCAACCTTGGTAGAGCCTTTCTTTCGACCACGAGCCTTTGGTGTCTTAGGAGCAGGGGCAGACTCGCCAGACTGGGAGACCTGTGGCTCCTGTGGCTGGGCAGAGGCACTTCGAGTGGTACGGCGGCGGCGGGTGGTGATGGGGTTGTCGTCGAGCGACATGTAGGAGCTCGGGGAGAGCGGCTTGGAACGGGTGCGCATGATGACGCGCCGGCTACAGGCAGAGTGAGGTTTGGACGAAAGTCGAGAGGTATGTGTGAAGCAACGGTTCGATCACAAAGCAAGAGTAATTCAGACTGTAAGTCTAGGAGCAAGTGAATCGAAACGCGTAGGAAAGGTGGTGAGTGAAGAGAAGAGAAGGAAGAGACGACGGTGTTGTTGTTGTTTTGTGTTTAGGCAGCGATGCCGTGACAAGACGTGTTGTTGTACTCCAGAAGCGGAAGGGGCAACGGGGATGTTACTTTCGCTCTGGAGGGAAGGTGCGATCGCGGCGCGGAGAGCTGGTGTAGTTAGCCCAGGCTCCGATGGTTGACATGCGTTTTCTTGACTCGGGCGGAGGGCAGAATATTTACCTTATTGACCGCCTTACTTTTTGTGGATCCTGAGGCAGAGATTCATGGAGCTGTGACCTCGTGACCTCGTATACTCCAGAGTATATTCGTACTCCGTTACTCGTAGTACTAGTGATACTACATACTATGGAGTATTACAAGCACATCTGGAACATTCAACTAGGTAGTTATAAAGCGAGAAAAATAATATGAGTAATGAATACAATGCTACTATTTGTACATATAATACCGGCCATTGGGACAAGAACTTCAGGTTCAGACCGAAGGGATTTGTCTTCTCCAACCTCCGATGTCAAATCCGCATCCAAGGAAACACGCTGAACGGTCTAGTCAAAATACAGGGGTATGATAGGTCGGAGAAATCAGCCCCGAACAAGATAGTAGAAACACTCTACAGGCAAATCTCTCCCTTCCACGCCGCCTCGGAAAGACCCAACGTGCCCATCAAGTTTTGCCATCTGGGTCCACCACGCTCCTTCCTGCGGATATACTGAAGAAGCTTCTGTCGCTTGTGGACAAGGATCTGAAGGTTGCGGCGGTTGTGTTTATCCTTGTTGGAGGACTGCAGGTGTCGAGAGAGGTTCATAATCTTGGCTGTGAGGATAGCTGCCTGAACCTCGGGAGAACCGGTGTCGGGTCCAACACGAGGAACTTTTTCAAGGTGGTTGGTCGCGGACTCTTCTTGCACACTGGCAGGCTTGGGTGGTAAAACCGTATCGGTGCTGTGTCGACCAAATTGTTCAATGCATTTTTGGACGATGAGACGGAGACGATCTTTGGTATTGCCATTGTTGAGGTTCACAATGCGCTGAATAGCCTCCTCCGCATTGTGGTGTTGTTGCTGATGCAACTCGATAATTTCCTTCTCGGCTTGAGGGTCTGCGGTATCGCGATCCGGGTTCTGGAGCGGCTCGGTCAAGTCCTTGGAGAATTGAAACGCCCCACTCAATTCATCGGACTTAAGGTAGTAGTTGAGGTCGGAGCTTGAGGGGGTTTGGGTGCCATTCTGAATGGCCTGGATTTCTTGAATGAAAGGTGTCGGTTGACTTTCCACGGGGTCACCGAGTGAGGCCTCCCGCTCAGCCTGGATGTCCTTTTGGCGGGAGATGTTGGCCGCCTTGCGTTGACGCGCCTGAGAGGCTCGGAAGAAGTCTGTGGTTTTCTGTTGAGGCTTGGACTTGGTGGAGGCTGCCCTCACGGTAGACCTGGTTGCGCGCGACAAAGACACCAGCGGGCTCCGGCCGGAGATGGAACCTGCGACACAAGTTGATCAGAATCAGAATCAGAGTGCAAGACCGGGATACTGGGTGGTTAATAATCGCTATCGTACCGGTCAGGGCCTTCACCGAAGGCTGGGAAAATAGACGTGGGGGCATTTTGAGCAGGTGAAGTTCAATGGCTCTCTCCAAACGGTCTGCAGTTTGAAGTTCTTCGCGCTCCCAGCTTTTGGGCCGGGAAATCCTGCGGACCGAAGCAATCACGCTAGTCCGCATTGATGGTAGTTTTCTGGCCTCATACCTCAGGCATGAAAGTTGTTGTTGCCTTGAAATCCGGATGACTAATATTCGCTGCCCTAGCCCTAACAGCTCTCAAGCCCACATTTAGCGAAATTCGCCCGAAGCGCCCGCGAGGATTTCGTGACTCCGCCTTTGAATCTTTTTCCTCTATCACCACGACAAGAGCCAGACGATTGATCTTTTCCCCTTCGTCAATCAATCAATCGCCCACCATGGCCCCCTCCCAGCTCCCCCCGGTTTTCAACCCTACCGCGCAGGACATTGAGATGCTCCTTGCCGCTCAGTGCCACCTTGGTTCCAAGAACCTTCAGGTGCACATGGAGCCCTACCTCTGGAAGACCCGTGCCGACGGTGTCAACGTCCTGAACATTGGCAAGACCTGGTATGCAACAACAAGACCCCGGAGACAGCGTGTAGGATAATACAAGGAAAGCTTTGCGACAAGTATTCTAATCAATGTTGCGATGGAACAGGGAGAAGATCGTCCTGGCCGCCCGTATCATCGCCGCCATTGACAACCCCGCCGATGTCTGTGTCGTCTCTGCCCGTCCCTACGGTCAGCGTGCCGTCCTGAAGTTCGCCCACCACACCGGTGCCACCGCCATTGCTGGTCGTTTCACCCCCGGTAACTTCACCAACTACATCACCCGCTCTTTCAAGGAGCCCCGCCTCATCATCGTGACCGACCCTCGCACCGATGCCCAGGCCATCAAGGAGGCCTCCTTCGTCAACATCCCCGTCATTGCCCTTTGCGACACTGACTCCCCCACCGACTTCGTCGATGTTGCCATCCCCACCAACAACAAGGGTCGTCACTCCATCGGTCTCGTCTGGTGGATGCTCGCCCGTGAGATCCTCCGTCTCCGTGGTACCCTCGCTACCCGCGAGACCGAGTGGGACTCCGTTGTCGACCTGTACTTCTACCGCGACCCTGAGGCCGAGGAGAACAAGGAGGTCGCCGAGGAGGCCAAGGCCCCGGGTGCTGATGAGATTGGCGCTGGTGCCGTCGAGTCCGGCTTCGCTGGTGACAACTGGGATGTTAACGCTCCCGGTGCCGGTGCCCCTGGCACTGCCTTCGCTGCCGCTTCCGCCGCTGTTGGTGCCACCAGCTGGGAGGCTGACGGTGCTGACTGGGCTGCCAGCTCCACCCAGCAAAACACTGAGTGGGCTGCTGAGACCACCCAGGCTGCTGCCACCACTGCCACCACCGAGACCAAGTGGTAAATTTGCTAGGCGGTAACTTTGGATGGCGTTGAAAGGGGGGAGAAAGTGTGATATCAACCCGAAAAGCTATGGCGATCTGGGATGATTGTGACGATTCCGAGTGCCCATTGGGTCACAAGGAAAAAAGGAAAATGCTCTTGTTTGTTCTTTCGACGGATCCATTGACAACAATGGAATCGAATTATCTCCCGAAACCCCCCCTTGACATGTCTATCCTAGTTTCTGTTCAAGTGTTCAAAAACAAAAAGAACTGAAAAACAGCAGAAGAAAAAAGAGCTTTTCACCGGGAAACTTCCAGTCTTTTTTGCATCAGTGGTCTCATTTACCAGCACTCTTCATGATTTTCTTGTTTTCGCATCCGGGAGGAATAGCGACGTCAAATATTGACTGGCGCTTATGAGGGAAAGAGATCCAGTCACGGATATGTGACTGGGGGAAAGCCCTGTGCTGTCAATCTACAAGGTGGACTTGATCGTTACCTTGGTTTCTCCCTGTATGTATCATCTAGTATTCGGAAAAAGGTGTGCTCGGTATTTCAAGTCCTGCGTAGAGCATGTAGTGTAACTGGCTGCTATATCAGAGACACCAAAACGGTTGGTTAGGAGGTATTAGTAAATCACGGCCCATACTTCCCTGTAAGATTCATGGATGTCATGGTCCTGTATGATCGCGGTCCTAAATTGCTGTAAAGTAAATAGTAGTGAGGGCATATGGAGTTTAGGTTTATTCAGATAGCATTATGTATATGCAAACGCCGGACTATCAAGTAACTGCTGCCCAGCATTCACAGCCGTCGGTCTTGTCCCAAGTTGTTCATTTCCAGTTTCGCATAAACCCTCTTAAAGAATACTACAACCCCCGGCAGTTTGACCACCTTTTGTTGTGGTTGCCATCCCGGCCATCCGGGCCAGATCTTCAAACGTTTCTGCAAGAAGCTCGCCTGTCACAGCCGAACATTCGGCATATCTATCGCAGCGGAGCTCCTGGGCAATTCGATATGCCTTCGCAAGATCGTTAGTTGAGTCGCCTTATATATTCTCTTTGTCTGAACGTACCTCTTGCGGGTATATGATACCCTCCCCTTCGGTCCGCAGATCTCGTTTCAATCCCAGCAGCATCACGGGAATGCGCTCACCATGACCATGTTGAAAATGTCGCGTTATTTCATTTCGCCACTGTCGGTTAATTATATTAGCGTCTGAGTGGAAACCGATCCTTTTGGCAGAGTTGGTTACCGTTATAAGCCCAGCTAGTGTATTGCGGTTGGAGATATCAAATGCTATGACTACCACGTCTGGCTGAAGGGACGTCCAGTGCTGGTTAGGACTCGCAGTGTCATAGAGCTCTAGAGTGAATTTCTTCTTTGCAAAGCGAATATCATAGATAAACGGCTGGTCACTATCGCGTAAAGTCTCGGGGAGGCTGGCATCTGTTGCGGCCCCGGTTTGTGATGGCGTAGGCCGCTTGCCACTCTTGAGACGTCTGTTCAATCATCAGCCCTGGAGTCAGCATCCATTTCCTCCTAGGCAGCGTTTGCAAATCCAAAGGCAAATATCTCTCTCTGAGAACATAAGCACCGTAGATTGGAGTCATGACTCACGATAAGAAGGTGGATTTTCCACATTCAGCGTCACCCACGAGTAGCAATGTTACCCTCTCATCAGTTTCTATGTCGGACATCCTATCACTTTTATATGCTCTTTATATTCAGGAGGCTACCTGGGTAGCATTCCCAGAGTTCGCAAAAGAAAATAAGATTGTGGCGGGGGGTAAATGAAGTGTTAATTCCACGTTGTCATACCCAACTGTCGTCCCGCAGATCACCTGGTCAAAGATTGATGTGGATCTACACCGATATATAAACTTGGTCTGGGGCACAGTTATCAAGGCTTATGATTGACCACGAAATCAAGCGATATCACCAATACCACACATTATACTCGTAAAATTAGTTCCAAACCCATACAGAGCCCTTTAAGGTTAATTTGCTACTTCAGCTGAATATATCAAGGTCGAAAACCACCCAATACATGCTCGCCGCAACATCCACTGCGGATGGGAGGAGCAATTACAGTACAATACAGTAAATATTACGACAAATACTAGATCCTCCGCGGACATTAAATTTCTCCAGTTGCGGCCCAGCAAAACTCCGAGTCCACACCAAGCGAGACAAATTTCTCTTCAAATCACCAGAGGTGGTATGTGGAGAATATCAGTCAGATTGTCTTCGCAGGGTACCTTCATTCAACACGCCATCAAGTCACAAGCGCGCTCACTCACCCAGAACCGTTCGCCAACGCTCCAAATCATGGCGGTCGCCAGTGCCGAGGGGCAACCCGACTACACTACCTGGTCCAATTCGAACTTGATTAGTCGGATCACAGAGCTTGAGCGACAGCTACACTCACAGAACACGCAGTATACGATTCCCCCGATACAAGAATCATCACGCGTGCCCGTCGCAGAAGGCATCTACGAACCTGCCATTCCGGCCCCTCCATCCTCCGCCCAACCGAACAAGAAGAGAGCCCATTCCCCCGATGACATTGTCAACACACCTGCGCCACCATCCCAGACAGTCAAAGAGTCCCGCGGATTTGATCCGTCCAAGTACAATACCCGATTTATCGCGCTCAAATTCGCATACCTTGGACAGCAATACAATGGCCTCGAACACACGAATGGGAACGTTACACCACTTCCTACGATTGAAGAGATATTGTGGAAAGCCATGCGACGAACACGTTTGATTCTTCCTGAGACGAGCTCTTCCGACGAGCCGAATGATACCCAGCCGCGGGAGCTACGCCCATACTGCATTCATTGGGATGGATGTGACTACTCGAAGGCGGGTAGGACTGACCGGGGAGTGAGTGCGTTTGGACAAGTCATTGGAGTGCGAGTCCGCAGCGCTAGACCCAAGCTCGCGACCAAGACTACAGAGCAGGAGGTAGAGAATAATGGCATGCAGGTGGAGCAGCCCACCAACCAGGATTGGGACGATATCGCCGACGAACTTGAATATGTATCCATTCTGAACAGAGTTCTTCCGGGTGATATCCGGGTTCTTGCTTGGTGTCCCAACCCTCCACCTGAGTTCGATGCTCGCTTTTCCTGTCGCGAACGCAGATACCGGTACTTCTTCACCCAGCCGGCTTTCTCTCCTACCCGGGAGCATTTGGGTTTGAAAATCGGGCTCAAAATGGCCAAGGACCCCGCGAGAAGTTGCGCGAGGGTTGGTTGGATATTGAAGCTATGCGCGAAGCAGCCAAGTCCTTCGAAGGTACGCATGATTTCCGAAACTTCTGCAAGCTGGATACGAGCAAGCAAATCAAGAATTTTGAGCGAATGATTTTTCGCTCCGACATTGAGCGTGTCGACCCCAAGACCAATCCTCTGGGATATGTGACCCGGCCTGGATTCCAGTCGCAAGAGGACTCTCCACAGGATGTAGACATGGTTTCTTCAGACCTGTCTGCGGAGGCGCCTCCCCATGTGTATTCATTCACTCTGTACGGCTCTGCCTTCCTCTGGCACCAAGTTCGGCATATGGTCGCAATCTTGTTCCTGGTCGGACAGGGACTTGAACCCCCATCAATCGTCGCAGACTTGCTGGACGTGGAAAAAACCCCACGGAAACCTTCATATGAGATGGCATCTGATGCCCCGCTGGTACTGTGGGACTGCATCTTCCCCGACGAAAGTTCCGGCAGCCGAGACGACGCCCTGAACTGGCTGTACGCAGGTGACCCACGACAGAACAAGAATCGCAGCCCCAAGAGCGATAGCAAGTTTGGTATGAAGGGGGTAGTCGATGGATTATGGGGCGTTTGGAGACAACGCAAGATGGATGAAATTTTGGCTGGTGCCCTGCTGGATTTGACTGTTGGTCAAGGTGACCAGAGTCTGACAGAGCACATTGATATCAAGCATGGAACCGGTAAGAAGCAAAACCGAGGCGCCAAGGTCTGGCAGGGGGCTGATGACACTCGCACGGGTGGGAAATATGTTCCTGTCATGAAGAAAACCAGGAATGAGCCTGTGGAGGTTCAGAATGCCAAGTGGTTGGCATCAAAGGAGCGCAAAATGGCAGCCAAGGAAGCGGCTGAACAGAGCGCGTCCCTGTAAGATCGTGGCACATACTCATAATTGCATATAGACCATTCCTAGCAAGCAAAAAAAAAGCATAATTCGCATCATCCGTGCAAGGCTAAATTTCGAGGTGCTGGCAACCCTCAACGTGACCTGAACGTAGATTGTATTCTATCATGATTTCGCATCATAAAGACAACGCCGAGAACCCCTCCATACTTCTTCTAGGATTTCCCGTTTCGGTAGTAATTGCTAAACACCAGCATCGTTAGCCCGAGTACAACACCATGAGAACGTAGGTCCTACCGGAAAGACCACCAGAACATCTGGCTCGCTTTCTACAATCACTGCCAGATAGAATCGGACCTCGAATCCCTTGAAGGCCTCATGGATGACAATGTCTTGAATCTGTGTAGTTGGAATGAATCTTGTCGCAGCCGAAGAAAGGTAGGTGGAGGAGGATGTTGAGGTCTGGATGCCAAAGCCTCGGATAACGAGAAGTGATTCCTCTAGATGGTTGCATTAGTCGATACATTGGGGGGAAGATTCCTGATTCATCCGTTTTGACATACCGGTATATCCTCTCTTGAATACCCCATAGATCACTAATACGCTGACTACTGCCATGGCCCAGGGATTGTATCTGTCGACTACGCTGCACAAATGAGCTCCGAATGGACTGGACCAGATGGCCTGCCATTGGGCCAGGTTTTCACCCTGGAGCAAAACTAAATATCGAAGTCGTGCTGTGAGGCCAAGGATAACACAGCAAAAGAGGAGTGCGCGCAGGAGGATCTGGATTCCAAATAGGATCTTTGCGGGGGAGCTGGAGCGCGGTGACGCGTTGGAGACGGTGAAGCTGACGGTCGTCGGCGACGGCCGCTGGACTATTAAGCGGCCTGGCATTGTAATGGCGGGGAATCACGGTGATGCGCGTATACACTGGCAGTCAATCGCAGTTAGAACAAGATCGAAGCGCTGCCCCGTCCTGCGCGAAGGTCAAATCGGAGACAGATACAGGCTAGCCTGATATGGAAATGAAGCCTGAGGCTTGAAGCTTCCAGGGCGTTTCTCACGTGAGCTAGTTTGCCAAGGAGGGAATACCCCCACCGAATCAACAATCATCTTTGTCCCAAGTGTTGCTTTAGGGCCCACCTTTTTGTTCTGATATTCTATTCGCTGCCTGCTGTGTGTGGGCTCCGTGTTTTCTGTTCTTGACTACGGAGTACAGGCCCTCGTCACGTGTTTCCGATGTGCCTATCTTCGTTGGCATCGCTGCTGGGACAGTCAGGCATCAACCTCACTCTCCTTCACCCCGAAACTGGATGATGGGAGACCGATCACGCAGCAGGTCCCCTAATCGGCGAGACGATGGCGCCCGAGGTCGACCGAAAAAGACCGGAGGATTTCGCTGGAAAGAGAAGCGGCGCGACGACGATGACCGGGGCGACGAGCGCAAACTAGATCGAGGCTACAGAGACCGAAACGATCGCCCTCGCTCACCGCGCAGAGAACACGACGGCGACAAGAACAGAGATGGCGACCGTAACCGCGACCGACGACGCGACGACCGAGATGCACCACGGGAAGACGGCGAGAAGAAGGAGAAGAAGGAAAAGAAGAAGAAGGACAAGAAGCCGGTTCTCCCCCAATCCGGCGAGCCCATGATTGTGGTTCATGTGAATGATCGTCTGGGCACCAAGGCTGCAATCCCTTGTCTGGCATCAGATCCAATCAGTAAGTCCGGCATGATGTTGCTTTCCGGACATTGTTTCGGGAAACTGGCGATGGTCAGGAATATACCAAGACGACCCGCTAACGCCTTCTCAGAACTATTCAAAGCTTATGTAGCTGCCCGCATCGGTCGTGAGCCTCATGAAATTCTTCTCAAACGCCAGGGCGAGCGTCCCTTCAAGGACCAATTAACGTTGGAGGATTACGGAGTGAGCAACGGAGTACAACTTGACTTGTGAGCCTCGAAGCTATTCCAGACCCTATTATCACGACCAGCAGCAATACTAATACTTGTATAGGGAGGTCGGTACCGGAGAATGATGAGAGTCCATGTCGCAGGCCGGAAAACAGTGGTGGAACATTTCAATATTTCCGAAAATCCATGGCCAAAGGAACCAAAAACCAGTTATTATCATGGACCAGGAGTATGGGAGCGGTTGTCACATTTTTTTTCTTTTTTCTTTTTCTTTTTTCGCTTGGATTATTTCATTTTAAATCGTCTTGTTGGCTTTTGCTCTGCTCTTCCTCACATATCTGTATCTACCGACAAATGGAATTGCTTGTGTTTATGTCTCAGGCAGTACATTCCGGGGATCTTCGTGCATTGCATCGCCGTTTTCTGCGGGGCGGTTGGCTTTGCCCTCGACGCTAGACTGAAAACGGCAGTTTGACACCTGAGGCTAGAAATCCGGCAGCCAACCCGAGTCCAAATCTTGTTCCACTCTACAAAGAGGCTTTTTTTCGAATCGCGGGACTCACACGAGCTTCATCATTTTTCTTTTCAGACCCTGGTCTTCTCGACTTTGTCTCAAGCCTACTCACCCCGCAATGTGGTAATCGCTTCACTCTCCACTCCCACTCCTCACAGACTCCTCCTCTTTGTTCCTTCACCCCTCCGACATCGCTCCCCAGATTTTCCGTCCCGCCAAATTTCTCCAAACCTCCTCCACCTCTCCAAACGTTGACCGACCTTCCTCCAAACCGCCAATATTCCTGCCGATATCCCATCAGGACCATCCAAAGCTATGGTTCGCAACCTAGTTGTCATCGGGGGAACTTCCCACCCGCAGCTGACCGAGTCCATCTGCGGTGTCCTGGGAATCCCACCCGCGGAGGTTCTCCTGTCCAAGTTCGCCGTGGGTGAGACCCGGGTTGAGATCCAGGAGTCTGTTCGTGAGAAAGACGTCTACATCATTCAATCCGGAGGTGGCAAGGTTAACGACCACTTGCTGGAGCTCCTCATTACCATCTCCGCCTGCAAGACGGCCTCTGCCCGTCGAGTCACCGCTGTCCTTCCTCTTTTCCCTTATTCTCGCCAAAGTGATATCCCCTACGATAAGGCCGGAGCCCCTCTCGTCAAGTCATCTGTGGTGAACCGGCCCAACAATGGTTACACTTTTGAAAGCACCCCTCCCACCCCAGGTCCGGGCAAGCCCGAGGGACTCGGTTTGATGAACGGCATCGACAACCTCCAGAAAAGCCTGGCCAAGGCCCAGATAGATGACAGCAATGGTAGCCCTGTAAAACGGCGCCCCGGCAACGCACTGCCACGCAGTGAGACTACCGAATCGCTCAAGTCCACTACTACGAATGGAGCCGCGGAGGATACCGCGAGCACTGTATCTAGCACCAACGCTTCCAAGATCAATGCATTCCAGCCCCGTCCCGGCTACAAACAGTGGGTTGCGCAGGCGGGCACTCTGGTCGCCGACCTGCTCACCTGTGCGGGCGCCGATCACATCATCACCATGGATCTGCACGACCCTCAGTACCAGGGTTTCTTTGACATCCCGGTCGACAACCTCTACGGCCGTCCTCTTCTGAAGAGCTATATCCAACGCACTATTCCCAACTACAAGCAGTCTGTTGTTGTCAGCCCCGATGCTGGTGGTGCCAAGCGCGCAACTGCAATTGCTGATCAGATGGGCATCGAATTCGCCCTCATCCACAAGGTATGTTTCTATCTATATTTCTTCCTTTTTCTCCTTTCTCGATATACGTCCGAAAACATTCCATCTCATAGCTTCCTGGCTGACCCTTCATCTTTTCTTCATAGGAGCGTCGGCCCACAAAGATCACAGACCGTCAGAATGCCACCATGATGCTGGTCGGCGATGTCAAGGATCGCATAGCTATTCTGATTGATGATCTGGCGGACACCTCCAACACCATCACCCGCGCTGCCAAGCTTCTGAAGAAGGAGGGTGCCTCCCAGGTTTATGCCCTGGTGACCCACGGTATCCTGAGCGGCGACGCCATCGATCGCATCAATGCTAGTGCACTCGACAAGGTTGTCGTGACCAACAGCGTGGACCAGGGCGATCACCTGCGCCGATGCCCGAAGCTTGAGGTCCTAGAGGTTGGCCACGTTTTCGGCGAGGTGAGTCACATGAGTTGCATTGCGTTTTCCTGGCGCCACATTTGCTGACCGCTTCAACTAGGCTATCCGTCGTGTTCACCACGGTGAGAGTATCAGTGTTCTGTTCCAATATGATTGATTTCCCCGCGACCGTGATGGGAGAATATATCTCATAAGAAATGAACGAAAAATATGACGCTGTGGGATTTGCTTTTCCAAGCTATCATTTCCAATGAATTTCCGAAGATTTCTGTTTTTTTTTTTTTTTTCCATCTTGGGCGTTGCCGACGTGAAGTCGTTTTCTCATACTTTCACCCCTGAATCCCTCCAATATAGAACCATGGTCAGAGTAGACTTGGTGGCCTTGAGAACCCATGTGTGTATTTTTGTGATTCCATGCTGCTTTGAGACTTTGCTTGTTTCTGGATGTCATTTTCTTTAACTTAGCTGCTGCTACTGCCGACCATCTGCACATATCGGCCTGAATCAAAACGAAAACTAAAACTGCCTACTCTTGACTTGTTCTTTCCCCTTCCACCCCTTCCGACCCCGGGAGTTGACCGTATACCTAGGTACTTAGTCTGAGTCATGGAAAACCAATCGATCAAACGTGTGGGTTGTGGGTCGGAACTACCCTAGGGTAGAGTCTATACAGCGATAAAAAACCCTATTCGGCATTGTACTACTAGTAGTACTACCTCGGATCCATTTACCGGTGATCTGGTGTCTATGGCTGGAAAGCAAGAGAAAAACCCATCTGTTCGATGTGATTTGTTCTTCTATATCACAAAAATAATCCTGGAATTTCCCAACGCCTCAGAAATTAAGAAGCCAAGAATAGCCGAAAGCAGGTGTGGCCATTGTTCCGGCCAAGGAGGTGATGCGCTCACTTAGATACTCGGAAAGAAAACGAACTGGGTACTCGATACAACGAAATCAGCTGTTCGCCAAAGCGAATTTGCACAGCCAGAGTGGTAAATACAAAGAATAAGAAGAGATGCGAGGTCATGATGGCTGGGCTTAAAAGACGGAGATAAAGTTTCCAATTCTCTCCTTCTGGTTCTGAGCAATGCATTCCGAGATCCAAGTCACGTTCCGAATTTCCTGCCTGCTGTCAGTATAACATACTACAAATCAGCGTTCGAAAGGGGGCTGGTCTTACCTGCTCCTTCAACTTCATCCACCGTACACCACCGCCGGGGTGAATTGACGAGTGAAAACCAACTTCGACATGTCCATCTCCTTTTGATAGAAGAGATCTTCCAGACTCTTTCCATCGGCAGGGCCGCCGCCCATACCGCCCATACCGCTACCACCCTGGCTGAGGCCTACAGCGTCGAAGAACGCTTTGTAATCTGCGACGGCGCTGACTGCCAGAGCAACACCTTCAACATCCTCAGCACGGGAAAGCATTAGACTTTCCCTCCGGGTAAAGTTTGCCGAATTCGGGGTACAGCTTCCTTCGCTCTTGCTTGGAGAGCTCAGTGCCGAAAGAGTTCAGGGTAATATTAATGGATCGGCGGTCGGCCTCGAACTGCAGAATCTCGGACATGACATCCTGCGTGGGACTACCTGCAAAGTCTGGGTGGGTGTTGACAAAGTTGAAGAAGTCCTCGAGATAGTTCTTGTACAGAGTGTTACGGACAATCTCAATATTGAGCTCGTCCAAGTCCTGGTGGCTCAGGCTGCCCTTGAAGTATGCGGCGAGTGGGGTCTCGATCAGCACTGAGTTGTATAGTTCCTCAATGTTGGTTGCGACACATAGCACGGGCAGTGTTTCAAACCAACCCAGTGGATGGCATCGCTCCAGGAGTTCTCGGGTGTCTCGTTCGTGCAGGGTGCCGGTGATCAGCAAGGCGATGTTATCGATCATATAACCATATGTCAGGTATTCCAGGAATTTGGCAGTTGAGCCAGTCGACTGCGCGATAAGGTAGCGGAACTCTGAGACCAGCTTGTCGGTCATCTTGCCGGCAAGCGCTGAGGTGGAGGGGTTCGGGGGAGAGTGGCCAGGAAGTCGCCATAGGAAGGGCCCAGCTGGAGTTTTACATCTGCGAAAAGGCTTATTAGGATCTGATGAGTTGCTTCAAGGCACGAGAACTGGCCTACCGTCGATGGATTCGCATTGTGTCAAGTTGGAGTAGTTCTGGCCGGTCAGAAGGCTGTTCCGATACCCTCGGACAATACCCTCGACGTACCTAGGTCCGTTAGCAAGAAATTAATCCACGAGAGAGACAACTCCACCTACCCGCCATTTACATTGAAGAAGAGGCCTTCCATGGTGTGCGGAATGGAAAGATGGTTTTGGGGGGAGGAACCAGCTGTAGCTCCCTCGATCGCTGTATGGCGGAGGTCATGACTAAGCCACAGCCACAGTGGCTTTCCGGGTCGCTTTTTCACTTTTCACTTTTTCTGCGCCAAAATTTCTAGATTCCTCCTCAACGGTTAAAGCGTCCACGGCCCACACCCTCTTTCCGTCTTTCTTTAGCCTTTCGAACTGGGCTTCTTAATACACTAGCTGAATTTATTTTCGAGCTCCAAAGCCGTGGTTGCCCACCATGTCGCTGTTCATCTTGACCGAAACCAGCGCGGGTTATGCCCTGCTGAAGGCCAAGGACAAGAAGCTCTTCAAGCACGGTCTGCCTGAGGATGCCAACACCGCTGAGGGTGTTTCTAACCTGTATGTCGCATCTTCGTTTCTTTTTTTTTGTGCAATGGATGAAATCTTGGTGGGGGGGGGAAGATTTGCGGACCACGCGCAAATTTTTTGTCACGAGCGACAGCGACGCTAACATTTTGCCTACAGGTTCAAGCTGAAGGGTTTCCAGAAGTTCGACAGCGCCGCTACAGCTGTGGAGGAGGCTACCGCTATCATCGAGGGCAAGGTTACCCCCCGCCTTGCCTCTCTGCTTGACAATGTCAAGGATGAGAAGAAGGTTTCGCTGGCTGTTGCCGACCCCAAGCTCGGTATGTTCGAACCCATTGCATTTCCATCGACTTTTAACTAACAGTAAAAATTTACAGGTAACGCCATTGGCAAGCTTCCCGGTCTCTCCATTGAGTGCATCGCCGACTCTACTACCCACGATGCCTTCCGTGCCATTCGTGAGAACCTGTCCTCCCTCATTCCAGGCCTGGCGCCCAGTGATATGTCTGCTATGGCCCTTGGTCTCTCGCACTCTCTCGCACGCCACAAGCTCAAGTTCTCTCCCGATAAGATTGATACCATGATTGTCCAGGCCATCGGTCTGCTGGATGATCTTGACAAGGAGCTCAACACCTATGCCATGCGTGTTAAGGAATGGTACGGCTGGCACTTCCCCGAGCTGGCTAAGATCCTGAACGACAACATTGCCTACGCTAGACTTGTTCTGAAGATGGGCATGCGCTCCAACTGGGAGACTGTGGATCTCTCCGAGATCCTCCCCGAGGAGATCGAGACTGCTGTCAAGCTCGCTGCTGACCGCTCCATGGGTACTGAGATCAGCCCCGAGGATCTGGAGAACATCCAGTCGCTCGCCACCCAGGTCGTTGAGTTCTACGAGTACCGCCAGCGTCTTGCCAGCTACCTGACCTCCCGCATGAACGCCATTGCTCCCAACCTGACTGCCCTCGTCGGTGACCTGGTCGGTGCCCGCCTCATTGCCCACGCTGGTAGCCTGACCAGCCTCTCCAAGAGCCCCGCCTCTACCATCCAGATTCTTGGTGCCGAGAAGGCCCTTTTCCGTGCTCTGAAGACCAAGCACGATACTCCCAAGTACGGTCTGATCTACCACGCTTCTCTGATCGGCCAGGCTACTGGTCGCAACAAGGGCAAGATGGCCCGTATTCTGGCTGCCAAGGCCTCCCTGGGTCTCCGTGTGGATGCCCTTGCCGAGTGGGGTGAGGAAGTCACCGAGGAGGAGAAGGCCGCTCTTGGCACTGAATCTCGCTTCAACCTCGAGCGCAAGCTGGCAGCTATGGAGGGCAAGCCCCTCAAGCCCCGTGGCGTCACCATTGCCCCCCACTGGTGCTCCTGCCGCTCAGAAGTTCGACCTGAACGAGGCCCGCAAGTACAACCCCGATGCCGACGCTCTGGCTGAGGAAGAACCTACCCCTGCCAAGAAGGACAAGAAGTCCAAGAAGGAGAAGAAGCTGGTGGAGGAGGTTGACTCCGATGAGGAGATGGCCGATGGCGATTCCGATGACTCGGACTCCTCATCCGAGGATGAGTCCGAGCTGGAGAAGATGGCCAAGAAGGCTGGTCTTAGCGTTGCGCGCTATCAGCGCAAGCTCGAGCGTGGCGAGATTTCCTTTGACGCCTCCGGAAACCCGTCATCGGTCAGCAAGAAGGATATGAAGAAGGCCAAGAAGGATTCTAAGAAGGCCGACAAGGAGGACGGCAAGAAGCGCAAGCGCTCCGACGAGGGTGATGACGAAAAGAAGAAGAAGAAGAAGAACAAGGGCGAGTAAAGGTTTGCTTTTAAAAGTTTCGTACTATGTGATGGCTTCGCGAATCTGTATGATATCACTTTCTTTTTGTTTCGCGGCCTGCTCGCATTTTGGGGCATTTCAACGTTTTATTTCTTGGCGCAGACGGTGCTCGATGGTACAAGGCAGTTCAGTTTAGCTGAATAATCTGTTTATATTTCAATTCGTTTCTCAGTAGTAGTGTTAGTAAATTTAGATCCCGCCACTCCATGTATAGTTGTACCGCCGTCTTAAGGTTGCTGCACATCTCTGCCGGCGTGAAAATACGATTTGAGGCAAGTGACCGCTTTCCAGACCGCCATATTTATCTGGCAGAGCGAGTAATTTTCCCTCCGCAGCTCATCTCCGCTACTCGACATTCGTCTACGGAGAGCACAATGAAGGTAAGTTGACCTATCTGAGATATAGAAAGCTTATGCCGACCGAAATACATAGATTCTCGACCCCCAAGCTGCTGTTCTCACCAATGTGGAGGTGTTGGCCTACCTATCGGCCAACCCACCCCGCCGCCCTCCAAACCCACCTCCAAATGCGCGACGAAACTGGGTTCCTAGCCCTGATCTACGAGACCATAATACTGTGGTGAAAGAGGTAAGATATTTCTGCGCATCGAGCTACCCGAATGGATCTATCTTCAATACCCGATCATGCCTCGCGAAATGCACCGAACAATACCCACATCACTCATTGATTGCTTCCTAGATCGCTTGAACTGACAAGAGATTCCCAGATCCACAACTATATCGCCCGAATTTCTCCCCATGTCCTTCGATACCCTCGTTTCACAAATCGACCCTCATCCTCGCAATCACAGTCTCAAGCAGCCATGACAGGAACCCTGAAAACCAACGGTACCACTGACTCCGAGCACGCTGTCGCACCGCCTCATTCTTCAGATTCTACGCCCATGGACAATGCTATCCGTGACCTCATTGTCAAGCTGCGACCTTACAAACTTACCAAGGCGGAGCTCGTCATGATTTTAAATTTGGGGCTTGGTGTTCCCAGTGGGGATAGCGAAGCTGCAGCGGAAGATGGAATGGTTAATGGTGATGGTGCTATGGATGTCGATGAAGAACATGTGAATGGTGATGGCGAGGAGCAGGACGAAGGCGAGGACGAGGAGGATGGAAGTGCCATGGCGCTTTTCGATACTGTGATCGAAGAGCGGGAGGGTCGAATGTCGGATGAGGATGTCTTGGCTATCCTGAAGATTGTCAAGGAGACACTGAAAGAGAATTAAGGCGGCTGGAGACCACGGAAATGTGCTTTGGCTTGGTAGGTTGTATTTCTGTTTTCTTATTTTGATATCCCGGGGCTAGATTCCTCAATTTTCACTGCATGTTCATGTATACACTGTGTAGAACTTGTATTAGTCAAAGGGTAGGCATGCGTTGCTTTGTGTGCATTTAATACGTATTAAAACTTCATGAAGCTGTTTTTGGTAGATCTTGATCATTCAACCAGCCTTAACTTCCATCTCATATCAAGCTCCATCCATCTGTCATTGCTATGTTCCAAGGTTATGCATAAATGTTCAAACGTCGATTAGAAATGTTCGTGAGGAAAATTATCAAGGATGATAACATGGCAAAATCTCGTGATAATCAAATGTTAAAACCATATCATCATGATGCCATAGTGTACTTTGCTGCTGATAGTACGAGTAGCTACCATATACTTATCGACCCCAGAAATTGGACGCTATGACTTACTAGTAGAACCTTAGAATTATGACAAGAACACGAGGACCTTTTGTTTGCCAGCCGGAAGTAAAAACAATGCCGCTCTTACTGTCTTGTATGGAAACTATTTCACGATCGTGAGCTTTATCCTGGAGGTCTTCACTCTTTGAATAAGATCTTCATATATACACCCAGGGGTCGTACTAGTAGTATGCTGACATGATCGTTCCAATCGCGTTTGTATGGACCACAATAGGCGCTATCACCGCACGGGGATGTCCTCGAACATTTTGCGCACAAAAGCAAATAGAGCCAATGCGCTATAATGATTCAATTGAATATCTGGGCTTGAATTTGTCCGAAGCAATCGGCTATTTAGGGCCCAGAGCATGGCTCTGGCGTCGCCTACGCGAGATAGCCGAATCACCAACTAAAATAACGAGAGGTACTACTACAATGCAGAGACATTAGGCATCATTGGTAGTAGTTGGATTGTACAGGTGGGGATGGCCGGAGACGGTTTGTATATTACGCCTAGTAGGCATAGCCCAAATGGATTGTGATGCATGACCTACGCTGAGTACTAGTGGTGGAATGGATATATGACCTGGATACTTGAGGGGAATTAATCAGAACATGTATCCAACTATGCCTGACAATTTCCTGCTGCAATTATTTCATAGGCATTCAGTATGGGGAGACATAAGAGGAATTACCTGCTAGAGGAGCTACTAGTACTCTCCCACAATGTGCCAAAAAAGATTTGCATATATTCCCGCATAGAAATCCCATGTGACAATGTTATTAGTATATTATTCATCTGTACTCACCAAAGAGAACGGCCCAGATTGAAAAGACCCGTGGACTGTGGCTGAAAGAAGAAGGGTCGATGCAAATCATAACTGATCCAAGCTTTTTCGGACAGTTGCTATTGGAAGATGCCAAGCGGGAATATCCAAGGCCATCCAGCTGCCAGTCGGTGAACAAGCCCGGTAGTACCGTATGACAAAGGAAGATGAGCAATATTTTCTGCAAAACAGAACGAATCATGTCAGTATTGTGCCGACAGGTGCAGGGATAATGAAGCAGATAACGATTGTCGACTTTTTGAGGGAATAGGAAATATAAAAGGGTCGTTTGCCACGTCTGATTTTCATGCGATTCACGAATTAATCAAGAAAAGGGTTGGCTTTGAATTGACAGTTTAGCGATTCGGACTTGAAGGCTATCGTCTGGGGCTATCGTTCTCGATCTTCAGACCATCAGGTGTTCTTCGCATCATCGCATTGCATCATCGCATTCTGCTACAACTGCACATTTAGCCACTCCAGTGTCCTCGGTCGGAAGCTCCCGCTAGGTATTGGAAACCGAGAATGGACTGGCTGGATAGTTGCGTAAGTAAGTGTGAACCATTCCTGTCCGAAATATTATACCTATCCCAGTACTAATGAATGCCATCGAGTAGCGACGAAGATGACAGAAGAAAATTGCCAGCATATCAGCAAAGTGCGAGCCATTACCCTCGTCCCAACAGCGAATGGATTCGACGTAGAATCTTTCAAATTGTCGAAAATTTTCCAAGGAAATACCAGAAAAATCCACATTCCTGTCCTCCACACCTCGATCGCACGCATGCCACGATCATGACAACGCACATCACGGCAGGTGACTAGTCGCATCCGCTCGGGATTTCCTTAGCAGGGTACGGTGAGAACGATCTCATCTCGCTTGGAGGTGGATTGTCATAATTATTGGGGGTGAGTGGTAAAGAAAAATGCCTCAGGTACCAGATGGACGTTGAAAATGGCGCATACCAGTGGGGAACGAAATCATCGCGACCCAGTGGGAGATCTGGCGGTACAGCGCACTTTAGGAGTAATTTAATGACAATGATTGGTGTGTATCGGAGCTTAATTTTCCTTAATTTTGCTTCGTTTGTTTTTTCGAGGACATCAGAAACCAGGGAAGGTCCCGAAACAGTTCATTTGGTTCCTGAAAAGTGCGCATACACATACATGAACGGATTGGAATTTTCTACCCCGAACCCCAGGCAAACAAGGCTGAATGAAGTTTTAATTTTGCGGCAGAAGAATGACATAGTGCATAAGATTGGCTTGTGAAACAAGCCCTGGCCTCTCTAGGCTACGACGCTTGCCGAGAAAATCGGCTGCAGTGCAACGCCACCTAGTTGAAAGCAACAGCACAGCCACCTCCATTTACAGTTTGCTCAATTTTGCTGGATAAGAGAGCCTGGGGCTTCTACCTTGGCCTTCAGCTGGGTGATATCATGGCCTCCGTGCACCAGCCCCATCGACAATCGAAGCAAAACATAACAAAACGGGTGAGCGACGGACGTGCGGCCGGTATCAAATGATGGCTAGCTTAGCTTAGGGCTCCTCGGTACAGCAAAGGCGCACCGAGCCGTATGAGGGATATTTGACACACAGGTCTATCACCAATTTGGCAGCCCGAAGGAGTATCAGAGGGGCTCTCATCCCGTGGGAGCAATGGGTTAGGGGTCATTTTCCGGTCGTTTCATTTTCCTAGTCGGTAGTCGGACCTTGACTGGCAATGTTCGAGCCGAGAGGTGAGGAAAAATGCCTCATACTTCTACTCATAGAGGGAAAGAGGTAATCACAAATTTTCGTCCCATTCATGCACATCCAGTTCCCCCTTGGGGGGAACATATTGGGTCCTAGGTAGAACTATTTTTTTTATCCTCTTTCATAGAACTAGCCACTACACATTTTACTTGTGAAACTGGACAGCCGTTGCTCCGTGCTTTTCTGAACGACCCACGTTCTGCGGGTAAAAGTACGACCAAATCTTAGCCACAATTTTTGGCTGGCCAAAGCTCCCATGGTACTAATAGTTAGTGACAAAAGGACGGAAAATAGAAAATTAAATAATGGGAAAAAAATGAAAAATGCCGCTAAAACAAGACAGAACCCTCCGAGTGCATGAGCTTGGTCCCACCTAGGCGATCCTGTGGCTGTGGACACGAACGAGATTAATGGGATCCCTTCCCTTTTGCCCTAGGTCAATCAAACTGTACAGATCAGTGTCATGGTATGTCATAACTCCCACCAGCTCCCACGACCCCTCAGTCCTACCTCGATTGAAAAAAAAAATCTCTCTTTCCCAAATCCAGAAACAGTAAACCCAGCAAAGTCATTGGGTTGGGTGGACCTGGGTGATCAATGGGTGTACTACTAGTACTCCTAGTAGCTAAGGTATAAAAGCTCGGTGGCCCTTCCCACCATCAAATTCTTTCATCTCATTGAGGGATGCTTATCGACGGTCAAAAGTGGGCTTGTGAAGCTTGCATACGGGGTCACCGTGTGACCAGTTGCAAACATCATGGTATGTGAAACCTTGGAATATCTTTATTGCATGATTCAGTATTATAATATTCCACCATTCCCCATTTCCCTATCTATCATCTTGCTACTACAAGTGGCCGCAAACCCCAGCCACCCTCTTAAATGGTGTATCAATCTAACAACCTCTTCAGATCGACCGTTGATTCGCATCAAACGCAAGGGCGACCATTCGCTACCTGCACCGTCTGTCAATCAACCCCGTGCACAGCACCAAGTGAGCACGCTCGCGCAAAGCGCGAAGCAGAGCTCAAAACTCCCTCAAAAGTAACGCAAACACAACATACCCAGCTCCCAACCCATGAAAGGGAGCTGGGAAGTCATGAGAATAACACACATCTTGACGCCCTCGGCCTGGGCATTCTGGGCAAGCAACGAGGACCATCGAGATGCGCGATCGGCAAGGTGCTGATTGCTTCTTTTTTGGATCTATAGAAAGCAGCGCACGGCAGACTCTATCCCCGCCACCACAACCCTCACGGTTTCCTCCCCATTGCGCCTCGACCGAGCGGCAAAGACGCACAAGGCGCATCCTCGCGGAATAGCGCCGGCGCGCAGTCCTCGCAGTCCTCGGCTCGCATCTCTCGCTCCGGGTCGACGAGTGCCTCAGCCTCCGAGTCACATACCCCCGTTTATCCCGAGCCATCTTCGCGTCGTGGCTCAGCGTTGACGGCAGACTGGTCGGGATCAGAGGAGTCGGGGCCTGAATCGAGTCTTCGGACGCAGTCTACCACATTTCTGGCGCGGAATTTATCCACGCCCCAGGATAACACTATACAATCGTTTGCTCGCTCAGCGCCAGAGGATTTCGCTCTGGACCCGCTACTAGTTGAGCATACGTTTGATCCCATGTATAGCCTTCTTCCCTCAACGATATCGGGGGCTCAAATGGCCCAAACTGTGCCGATGATAAGTCCTCTGGAGGGCAGCAATCCATTTGATACCCCTTGGATCCTTCGCTGACATTGAATGATTCCCTGGGATATTTGGAAAATATGGACATTGATGTGACTGAAGGATTGTCAGATGAAGTCTTTCATATCGAGGACTGGTCGCGATATATGTGGTCGCCTGAGACCGGCTTTGAACATCTAGATACAGGATTCCCCCCTGTTACACTTCCACCTGTGACGCAATAACAATGACTGATGATTAAGATAAACTTCCGATCAGTATAGACATCACTCACTGACCTAGTATACTTCCGGGGCTGTTGACTTGCGCATATGCTGAGATTCGGTAAAACAGTGCTGGGGGACGACACAAAAGGACCAAGAAAGGCCCCGAGGTTTTAGAAAGATCCTTTGAAAGCCTTGGAACAATGTACAACGAATTGAATTGCTTCGGCATATTTTAAATTCGCATGTATCCATGATGCAAGACCAAACGCTCCGCTCCGTGCTGATGCAGATCATACTGGAGGGCAAAAAAACAGCGCCAAACAAACTCGAGGGGAAAAAAGGCAAAATGACATGAGCCGCATTCATCAACCCACCAACCTCCTCCTGTACTGTGCAATGAGTCTATACAATCGCGAGCCTACACCTCCTGGATATAGTTCGCTGGAACGCTCTTCGTAACTCCACCGCGCTCGACATCGGCCCACCCATCCCCACCATTCCGAGTAACCAGGACAAAGCGATCGCCCTCAGTCATGGTCCACTCCATGTCACTCCGCGCTTCGTAGTCGTACAAAGCCTCCACATACTGTAGCTTCTTGGCACCTCTGCGGGGCGCAACCGCGGGCCCGACGCGTTTATTGGCGATGCTACCCGCCAGGGAGGCTGATGAATTAGAGTAGGTCGATCCGGGTCTTTCGGGAAGTCCAGGGCTAGCCGATGGAACTGGGGAGGGGGTTGGGGCGGCTTCGACATAGGCAGATGGGACTAGTCCCTCTTGAGAGCCCGCTCGAACGCGTAGCCAGCCCGATCCATCTGAGTATGCGGTCAGGTTCTGTAAAGTGGGAGAAAAACATATGGATTGAAGGCAGGGAATTACTTACCATCAGGCTCGACGATTGTCACATTGTCCCCGTCTTGAACGGTTACTTCGTCATCACCAGTGGCCTGGTAGGCATAGAGCATCTTGCCCTTTGGATCGCTTGACTTGGAAGGACTGGGGGCGCTGACAGGTGGCGCAGTATAAGCCGACGGAGGTGGAGCCAACACTCGATGCCTCTTCGCAGCGGCAGGTTTAGTCTCTGCAACTGGCTCAGGGGGTGCTTCCGCAGGACTCTCGGGGTAGGCTGGGTCGCGACATTGGAGGCCGATACTGATCGGGCTGTACTGGCAGCATAGCCTGAACTTAAGGAGGTCATAGTGTTTTGTCGGGTTAATGACGGAGCAGCCGCAGAAGTCGCAGATGATTCCAAGTCGATGGTTGGCACAGCGCCAGCTTGTTCTTGGCGCTCAGTCTTGAGTTTCTTCTTGTCCTCCTTGGTCTGTTCGCCAGGACACTCTGCTGGCACCTTCATTTGACACTTGCTGTGACAAGTGTACCCACAATCCCGACAGTCAAATCCCTTCGCGGAGAGGCCCCATATGCGCTCTCCGCAGAGATCACAGTTGGTAGGAATCTTGAAAGTTTGGGACCTAAAGTTGTGATTCTTGGCTCCCATGGACAAGTCGCCGGCCACGGATATGATAGTGGATGTTTCCACCTCAGCTGTCAGCCATTTACGCTCCACCTCATGCAAGGTTTCTTGCAAATAGAAAATGGATCGGACAATATCAACCTCATTGCGGTTGTCTTTACCCTGTTGAATGTTTTCTCGGACTCTTTGGCCAGTCTCCACTTCACGTTTCTTCTTATCCGCCTCGACCCGCAGCTCACGAACTGATGATTTGCTCTTACCAAGCACATTTCGTAGAAAGACCTTGGCAGCCTCATCGATGATGATTGTCGCATCGTCATGCCATACAGGGCTGGGCTCGAAAGTCGTATCGCCGGGTTCTTGGCTTTGAGTAACATTGTGTTGGAGGAACATCATTGAGTCGAGGCGTGGATCGTTGCGAGGGATCTCGTTGAGAAGATTTGTAGTGTGATTCACACTATTTGTAAGATATGACTTTTCCAATTGACCAGCAAGAGTCCATAGAGCGTTCAACCGCTTGACTCGAGTTTGATTGAGATCTTGCAACCCCTGGTTACGACCATGGTAAATAGAGGCACCCCTCATGACCATCATGGGTAGGGGTTGTTTGACTTACATTCAATACTTCAGGAACATATTCATGGAAGAACCGTTCCTTCAGCTTATTCGTGACGTTGATGCTAATTAGATACAGATTCTTATGTTTGTCAGTATTCATTGCGTACCACCAGAGACCAAAAAAAAATATGAACCCACCTTGTAATTGTTCATTTCCAATATTTGTTGTTGATATGCGGTCTGCGCCTTGGCTTTACCATGGTCAAAAGCTGATTCCATTTTCTTACGTCGAGATTCGACCTCCTGACAAGATCCATCGTATTTGCCCTTTGCTTTCTTAAGCTCCCCATATGACGCGTCCCGCTCCTTCTCAAGTTTCCCGTGGTAGTCGACATGGCATTTGCGGATCTCTTCGTACTGAGTTGCCGCATGTTTGAGGGGTTCCGCCACCTGCGCAACCAAGTCGGTTGCGAATTTGTCTCGTTCGGCTGCATGGGCTTCAACCGCATTCAATTGATGTGTCCATGTCGTCAGGGAGGCGCTCTCGAGCGAGCCCGGGGTCAAGGTAGGCGTGTCGCCAACGCTCAGCGGGCTAATCTTCTTCGATTTGCGGTCGTAGTACTTCTTGCTCAGAGCGCTTAACTTGGCGGAGTATTCTTTTTCGATAGCGCTGCGCTCGCGATAGAATTGTTGAATTTCTTCCAACCATGAGATGCCATTCGATACCTGGGTGACATGGTCGCATTAGCTCCGCCCACGCGCGATGACATGATACTCTCTCCCTTCGCAGGGAACCGGGGAGATGGATGACCTACCCAAGCGTTGACTGGTTTAAAGTTATCCTATGAAGTTCCAGAATGGTTAGTCAAGTCCCACAGATTGTCCACGGGGACCCTGTAAGACTCACCTTTAGCTCTGTCCCAAACTGGGGAGCCACGTCTGCTGCCGCCATGGCCGATGTAAAGGTGTTGAGGCCAAATCACGCATGAGCCTAGGGGAGGTGGAGTCCGGGATTCTGGGCCCGAGGACACAAATTGAAGGGGTTATATGTCCTGTACGGCAAAGGGATTATCGGTAAGGAGGAGAGGTTCGAAGCTCTACGAGTCACGCAGGCGCATCGACCAATTCAACTCAGATTGAAAGCGATGATCGCACCAGGCGAGAGCGGGGCGTTAATGGGTTGCTGACTAAGATGCACTCTCTCCGCGGAGTCGAGCAACCCTACAGTCAACTTTGATACGAGTAAACACAGGCCGAGGATCTCTGTGGGGCACCAATATGGTACCTTAACATGCTCATACTTCTCAGGTTTCAATTTAGACGCGTCTCGCACTTTTGTGATTTCTCTGAGGTTGGATTCAACCTCCGCAAGATAGTTATGATGTGGGGGGTCAAAGTTGGTTTAACCACTCCGATCCATTAACTAGGTAGTTACTACTATGTTGCACATGGCATTGGCCGCCTTCTAATGGCAGACTAGTATCTGCCTAAACGGAACAGATTAGCCATAAATACATACCCTACGTAGGGTAGCCTGGGGCAATCTACTAGTATATGTATCTTAGGCACCTTAGGTACTTCCTACAGGTTAGTTGGTCTTATCAAGGCGGAGACCGGGCGGTCAAAAATGGATGGCAGAAAAAGGGGGGCTGGCTTCAAAGCGATACGATACCATACGGTACTCCGGGTTCACCGCCTGCCTGGACAAGCATAGAGAAGCCTTGGCAGCATCATCGCCAAACAGTTTTGAGCTTTCACCTTTCACCTTTCACCTACACCTCTACTGCCTGTCAATCCACCCATTGGCACCCTGTGCTCATCTTTGCACTTTCTTCTGGTGCGGCACATCGACTCTCCTTGATTCGTTTGAAGGCTCGACCACTGAATACAGCCGTGGGCTTGCTTCAGTAAATACCCCGCGATACTTTTCGACTGTTGTCTCCGAAGAATACCTCTTTCTTTCTCGCCTCACAATGTCTTCTGAGACCCCCGAAACCACTGGCTCCCTTGCCGACCGAATTACCAAACCTGATGTCACCCCTGACACCCAACCCGGTACGAGTCTTTGTTCAACTTTTCCGTCGATATTCCCTCCTTGCCCGCCTACTACACGCCTCCCCTGGCGATGAACCAACCCGATAAATGAGATATATGGCTAATATTCGACGCGTTCTTATTCAGCCGCTGCTACGGAAGATGGTGCCGATGGTGCCGGAGCTCAACTCCAGGGATCCGAGCTTAACGAGCCGGACTATACCGTGGAGGTCAAGCTGAGCGATCTTCAAGCCGACCCAAACAACCCCCTGTTTTCTGCGAAGACCTTCGAGCAGCTAGGACTGTGAGTACTATTAAATTATATCAAAAATTAAAGCGAAATCAACTGACAATTACGACACAACAGCGATGAGCGCATCCTCAAGGGTCTTTCCAAGATGGGCTTTCGCAAACCTTCCAAGGTCCAGGAACGTGCCCTACCCTTGCTCATGGCCAACCCGGCGCAGAACTTTGTTGGACAGTCCCAATCGGGCACGGGTAAGACCGCAGCGTTCGTCCTTAACGTCCTCAGCCGTCTCGACCTTTCCCCGGACATGCAGACTAGGCCACAGGCTCTCATCCTGGCTCCCACTCGCGAACTGGCACGTCAAATTGTCGGTGTCATTCAAATTATGGGTCAATTCCTTGAGGGTCTAATTATCGGAACCGCTGTCCCAGCCGACTCGAATACTCGCCCTGCCAGAATGGCCTGCTCTGTTGTTGTTGGAACCCCCGGTACTGTGATGGACATGATGAAGAAACGCATCCTTGCGCCAAATGATATTGCCGTTCTTGTCCTGGATGAGGCCGACAACATGCTCGATCTGCAAGGAATGGGTGACCAATGCATCCGTGTCAAGTCGTAAGTTCCAAGAATTTCTGTTCTTTTTGTGGTCGCAGCTAATGGTTCGTCTAGTGCGCTCCGTCCGACTACTCAGATTGTCCTCTTTTCCGCCACCTTCCCCGAGCATGTTAGCGAATACTCCAAGAAGTTTGCCAAGGACCCCAACGAAATCAGACTTCAGCACGAGGAGTTGACAGTGGAGGGTATCAAACAACTCTATATTGACTGTAACGACGAGGAGGAGAAGTACAACAACCTCGTTCAGCTTTATGGTCTTTTGACTGTCGGCTCGTCCATCATCTTCGTCCGGGTTCGTATTCAAAATCCTCTCAAATTCAATCACTCTGGCTAACGATCGATAAATAGACTCGTAACTCGGCCGCCGAAATAGAGAAGCGGATGGTCGCAGAGGGTCACACTGTGGCGTCGTTGACTGGAGGTATTGAAGGTAGCCAACGTGACACTGTTATCGATGCTTTCCGTAGTGGTGATGCCAAGGTTCTCATCACCACCAATGTTCTTGCTCGTGGAATCGATGTTTCAACCGTCTCCCTGGTGGTCAACTATGTATGTTCCCATTTATCCCACCGGCGTGAACATTCTTCTATGCAACGGCAGAGCTGACCGCGTTATCATTCACAAGGACATCCCCGACCACCATACCCCGGGTCGTCCCCGCGAGCCCGACTTTCAGACCTACTTGCACCGTATCGGTCGTACTGGCCGTTTTGGTCGCATCGGCGTTGCGATTTCATTCGTTTCCAACCAGGAAGAGTGGAACATGCTGCGCAAGATCCAGCAGCACTTCGGTTGCCAGATCGATCGCGTCGATACCGGTGACTGGGACGAGGTCGAAGAGGTCATCAAGAAGACCATTAAGAACTCTCGCGCTCAGGCCAACTTCGCCGCCAACCAGCAATAAATAGCGCCAAAGACCTAGCTGTACTTTGCTTTTTCCCTTCTTCCGTCCTTTGATGACATATCTGCAAGGACTTGTCGATTCACGTCTTGCATGAAGAATTACGAACTCTTATCTGTTTTTCATGATCCCAGAGGATGGCTGCCATAATAGATACCAATTCACGAATCCAAAACCGCTTCCTCTACGATTTTCTCCTTATCTACCTTTCCCCCCCGCCTTTTTGGCATTTACGCTCATCATTTCGCAAGAACATGATTCAGGGGCAAGTATTCACAAACCAGGTAATTTATGCCATCTTGGAAGTCAGCACGTTTCGTGGGCTTGCCGAATGTTTGGTCCTGCCGGATACGGTCCACATGTGAAAGGCCACTCTCCGAAGATGCGTTCTGAATTTAAAAGAGGGCACCACAGGCTCGCGACTCTGCGTGTAAAAGAGCCCGGGGCCTTAAAGTAAATTCTCACTGGGCTCCTTGATAACAAGCCTAGCGGCTCCCGGAGTTCTTGGCTTGTTCGTATTCACCCGCGTTTAGGCCAATGACCAACGCCCGGAGCTCTGAATACGAGCCCTAGAAATAGGCGGTCTTCATTCTAAAAATCAAGGCCAATGACATCGATTGAATGGGTCCACAATAGCCTATTTAGAGATTTGAGCATTCTGAGTCTACCTCCTTTTGCCATTAGGACCGATTTATCACTGGGCTTGTGGGCTTCATTTCGTGAAATAGTGCTGAAGTGGGTATAGCCAGGCGCGTGGGCTTCCCAGGCCAAGACGTTGAGTTTTCCGACTCATATTATTTGAAAGGGATGGTGCCCGTTCAAATACGCGAATTGCTTTCTCATTCCTGTTCCCCCACTATTGATTGCTGCATTTGGCACTATGAAGCTACCCAGAGCTTGCTTTCTTCTGGCCTCGGTGCTTCTAGCTCCAGCCAAAGCCTCGCCATGGTTCGGCACTAAGTATATTGCTGTTGTCGAAACTGTTGCAGTAGAAGGCTATACAGGGAAATATCTCACAGAGGACCCTATCATGCGCACGAGGACGGTTGAAATCTCCCCGACAGTCACAAACCCATCTGTGATCTCCTCATATACCGAGACTGAAGGCTACAGTAGCGAGGTCACGGCTCTCAATTTGGTCGTGGAGCCATCAGCTGGCGTCCCCGTTACAGCCAATCACTATGTGGATTACTATGTCAGCGTCACATACACGGCTCCATCATCATGCAGTTATACAACAAAGCAATCGCTGACTACGACTATTCCTGTATATGTGCCATATGATGCCAATGACTTTGTGGACCCAATCTGGATAAAAACGACGACGGAACACTATTCCTATATCACGGGGGCCTACACCGAGGTAAACGGGCTATTGGATCCTACAGCTATTCCGGCAAGCATATTTTCCTCTGCAAGCTCGCAATACAAGCCGGCATACTACACCTCCTGCTACAGCTACTATGCCGACTCTGGCTCCAATTCGGGAGACTCCGACAGCACTGGATATGGCAGCGGCGGAGATTCTTCTTATTATAATTGCAAGGAGTTCACCTGGAACGCTGGGAGTTCTGCAATTGGAGGCGGCTATTGTTGCTCTGACGGCTGTCACTACACCTGGGGAATTACACCGTGGGCTATTGCCTTGGCCGTTATCTTCAGCTGGTTCGGTCTATGCCTCATCATCGGTTTTGTCGAGAGTTGGTTCATCTACAGGCGCGCTATGCTCGGTGGGAAAGTTCGCCGTGGATTCCCATACGCATTCGCCTGTTCGTTTCCAATTCTCTCCTGTCTATCCCTGCTCTCGGTGAAGAGATACCCAGCGAAAACCCCCGATCAACAAGCTTTCCTAGCAGCCCGCTGGTCAGAGATGTCATCCGGAAAGAAGTTCAGCTCTTGGTTTAATAGCTTCTTTAAGAGACACGACCCCGCCGCCGAGACCCTTGGTCTTACAGCCCCAATGACAGCTCAAATGCCATATCTGCCTCCGGACCAGACCCAAGTGTATCCCTCAGCTGGTGGACCCGATGGGAACGGCATGCCACCTATGAGTACTCCATCTCCTCACCAAGGGCAGGGCTCAACGGATACGCCAAGAGGCGAGGAGCTGGATGCCGAGCCCAAGACCATCGCTGTTAATGAGGCTGAGCGAACCGAAAGGGCACAGTAGCCGTCGGCATGTGCTGGTTGTATCTTGAGCGAGAGGCTTGTCTTATCTTCGACCTTGTCACTGATCGAATCGTTAGCCTTGAGAGGCCCACATAATTCCTGTTATACCCTTTTGATGTCCTGATTATGAATAATTCAATTATTTGAAATACTTTTTCATTTCTCAATCTCCACCAAGCCACAAGAAAAAGCTCGAGCACTAGATGACGACACCCTTGATCGTCGCAAGGTCCACTTTTAAGTTGGGGGCCGCTGGGCGGGATTTAAACCCCATAATCCCGGACACCTGCTAGTGAGGTTACTATAAAGTCCTGCATCTCTTGGTAGTCATTTGCCTGACCTAGAAATACCTCATTTCAGCCACGGATTACTCTTCTCACTATGGCCGCGACGAAAAATACAAGCAATGCAGACCGTCACCAAAAATGGTACGATCCCGATATTGAAGATGTCAACCCACAGATCCGCCACCTGCTCGAGGCATACTCCAAGGTTCCTTCCCCGGGCGTAGTCAAGCATGTTAATGAGATTGTACGTTTGAATTATCTTTCAATTGCTGAGCTGGTTAATCCTAACGATCACCAGCGTGCCCGTGGCTTTGCTGCCAACCCATACCCTTGTATAGGGCACTACCGCTTTCTCAACCTCACGCTGTTAACGCATCCACTCTACGAGTCGATCCTAGCGCGTCTCATGTCTAATCCTTCAGCAACATACCTAGATCTAGGCTGTTGCTTCGGTCAAGACCTACGCCAGCTTGTACTGGATGGCGTGCCCTCGTCCCAGCTAATCGGCCTTGACATCGAAGGCCCGCTGATGGATCTCGGTTACGAGCTATTTCTCGACCACAATACACTCGAAAGCAAATTCGCGGTCGCCGATATCTTCCAGGGTGAGTCACAAGGCGAGCCTTGGGCAGGTCTTGTGGCTAGAGGAGTCGATGTGATCCATTGCTCTGCGTTTTTCCATCTTTTCACGCTTGCGGAGCAGTTCGAGGCGGCAAAGTCTGTTGCCAAACTAGTCAAGAATGGGGGTATAATTGTTGGCAGACAGAGTGGAAGTGTAAAACCTTCCGAAGTACCAGCCATTAAGCCAGGAAGTACCAGTTTCCGACATGATGTGAGAACATTGGCCGAGTTGTGGGAAAAGGTTGGAGCGGCAACTGGTACAAAGTGGAAGGTTGAAGGTTCCCTTGATGAAGTTGGTGTTCAAAACAAAGGAAAGAATGCTGTTGAAGATGAGAACTCCAGGAGACTTCTTTTTACAATCACGAGGGAAGAGTAGTTGCTTGAACTTGAAGTCATATGGGGTGTTAGATGTAGAAGTACTAACTACTACAATATAAGTGAAAATATCTCCTACATTATCAATTCCGAGAATCCATCTCAGAATTTCTAGCTCGTAGCCACGAAGCCCAATAAAAAACCACCGATCATGTCATGACAAAATCAATCATGTAATAATATCGATTGATCGAAAAAGAGACCAGTAGAATGTGATGAGTTATTCGGGAGAGGAGTTACGTCAGTGGGTCCCGACACCAAACAACTTGAACGCGTCCGAATGTTTAGTTATCTCTTCCACACTTCTTCTCCCCAGCCATTATGCCTAAGAAAGCAACCCCAAAGGCCACTCAGGGCAATGCCCGGGTGGCAAAGCCATCACAGCCTCGCCTCAAGGTCATTGAACAAGGAAAACATGGCCGATGATTGGTTAGACAGTGTACTCAATGCCCCTGAGGAACGACCTCGGCAGAAAAGCCGCGCGACCAAATCAAGCCGCACCACATCCAAAGTATTGGATGATGCGCAAGAAGAGGCCCTGATCGGCTGAATCAAGCGAGTGAAGGAGATGTCCCATATTCCAAATGTCCTTCAAGTCAAATCATCCGCCAGTCATCTCAAGCCCGGCATTAGCAAAGCCGCAGTGGATCGTTTCATCGAAGGACTATCCGAGGACTTGAAGCCCTTTAGAATGCGACCTACCAAGAAGAATCGTCTTCAATTATCAGATCGAAATGTTTTGCAGGAATGGTTTGGCCGTTTTAAGACCGCGACAGAGAACGTTTGCCCCGCTAACATCTATAATTTCGATGAAACCAATTTTCAGATCGGCCGAGGAAACAGAGTGTGATGGGCCTTTTGCTTTGGCAATGAACGACCTCCACCCGCGTCCTCAGACCGGACCTACAGTGAATGGAATACTACCATCGAATGTGTCGCTGCCGATGGCTGGATAGCAGATCCTTTCTTGATTATTCAAGGAGACAATATCCCTGAAACCTGGCCTCAAACCAAGGGGGGCTCCAGAGTCAACCGTATTCAAAAGTAACCCCAGTGGTCGCGTCACTGAGGATGTGACACTCGAATAGATCCAATTTTTTGATCGCCAAACAAAGGATCGCGTCACCGACGCCCGACCTCGAATCCTACTGTTCCGGGGCGAATCGACACATCTGACGTTCGCTTTTCTAGAGTTCTGCGACCAACACAACATCATCCCACTCACCTTCCCTTTGAAGATGGATGATCTTATGCAACCATTTGAATTGAAGCACTTCTCTTCCTACAAGGACTACTGGAGACTCAGGAGTTTTGATGGTGTTAAAATGGCGGATGCCGATGAAGAGAAAGGATGCTTCATCAAGAACTTCTTCACCCATCGCAAGAAGGTGCTCAATCCCAAAGAAGTCAAAGATGCATTCGCTAGCGAAGGCCTCTTTCCATTGGACCCGTCAGTGATTCTTGATAATCTCAAGAAATAGTTCACAATCTGCATGACGCTAAAATGACGAGTCGGGTCGAGTGAAAGCTGAATTGACGTGATATCTGTATGAATAGTGTTTATTTTTTAAATTGAATGATATGCAGAAAGTATACATGAATACGCTGGACGCTCTTGGCCATGTAACTAGTGATTGACCCATGACTAAAAAATATCGGGGGCCAAAACCAAAGTGGATCCAACGCAGATCAAGGCATAAGTGCGAGGGCTTTGGGGGCCAGAAATAAGTCTTGGCCACTTTTGATACTTGATCGGGTGGAAGACGCCTACTCAAATCTTACTCTTTCCACTTACTTCTTACTCTGTTACTGGTACATGAAATCTATCCCGCTCTTCCTTGAACCTCAACGCTCCCACATTCTATTGATCGCCAGCGGCCATGACTGAATCATCTAGCACTAATACTTCATCCTACGATTACATCGTGGTGGGAGGTGGCATTGGCGGATGTGCTGTTGCATCTCGTTTGCATGAGAGGCTTCCAAATACTTCAATTCTTCTATTGGAAGCGGGGAATGACCCAGTTGGGAATCCTCTGACCAGTGCACCACTTGCATGCTTCGGTATTCACCACTCCGATCTTGACTGGGACTTCCTGTCAGTGCCACAGCCCCATCTTGACAACAGAGCCTGCTACCAGGCCGCTGCCAAAGCTCTTGGGGGCGGGTCATCCATCAACTACGCTACCTGGCTCCGCGGCCCTAAAGTCGACTATGACCGTTGGGCGAAGCTAGTGAAAGATGATCGGTGGAGCTATGACAACCTCTTGCCATATTTTGAACGCTACGGCGGATCGGACGGCGTCATCAAGACGAGCTCAACCTCACAAAGCCACCAGGATCGCAAATACCCACTTCGTGATCTTGTGCGAACTGGATGGGAGAGTGAGGGTGCTCGTCACAACGCAAACCCCCAAAATGGAGATCCCCTAGGGATCACAGAGCTAGTCGAGAATTGGCACCAAGGGAAACGGCAGTTCGCGCACAAAATCTTCTACGTTGATGGAGTTGAAATTTTGACCGAAGCTCCGACCGCTCGCATCCTTTTATCGGAAACTGGTACAGGAACCCAGCGTGCAAATGGTGTTCAACTCCTTGATGGTCGGACTTTCTATGCCCGGAAAGAGGTGATTGTTTCTTGTGGGGCTTATAACACGCCGAAACTTCTTCTATTATCTGGAATCGGACCCAAAGAGCAGCTAGAGCAGCACGGTATTCAACAGGTTGTCGATGCGCCTGAGATAGGCCGCAATTTCCACGATCATCCGGCTGTTGCTCTGATCTGGAAGTTGAAACAAGAGAAGCTAGGTCTCCCAATGAGTGCCATCGGGAGCAATCCTGCCTTCGGACTTGGGTTGCCTGCCGATTGGATTGTCTTTTCGGGCCTGGATAAGAAATTGATATCCGATGCCTTGATTAGCGATGGTATTGAGGTATCTAACCCAGAAAGAGAGTATCTTCTTGACGAGAGGAACTGCTTCACCGAAACATTGAACGTGTATGCGCCAGCAGGTGCGGTGCATGCCGGGATGGACATTCCGTTTGATGGTCTTCATATATCAACACCTATATTGGGAATGCTTCCAACTTCTCGAGGCAGCATTACTCTTTCTTCGAATGATCCAACCGCTCCTCCGCAGATTGATCCAAACTATTATGCTACTGAGGTTGATCGAACTATGATGCGCGCTGGTATACGGCGGGCTTTGCAAGTCTTCCAAGAGTCCACAGCACTGAAAGACGTGATTGAGACCGAGATCGCACCAGAGGGGTATCCTGTGTTAACCTCAAAATCTTCGGATGACGAAATAGATGCTCGTGTTCGGCGGGTAGCCAACACTTTCTTCCATCCTGCCGGCAGTTGTGCTATGGGCAAGGCCGTGGATACCGAATTACGTGTGTATGGCGTGGATGGACTACGAGTTGTCGACGCCAGTGTACTGCCAACCCCAGTTGCTGCCCATTACCAATACTGCATCTACACGGTCGCAGATCGAGCAGCAAATTTTATTGCTGATAGCGGAAACTAAAATTTCACATTCTGTTAAGTTTGGGACACATGTGGGCAAGCGAAACTATTTATAGGATATCGTCAAATTGCCTACATGCGGATCTTATCATCCTGAACAGAAGTAATCGATATTATATCAATATAATTAAATCAACCATTGGTCAAAGCAGACACCAATTTCAATGGTATTTAACAGGTCCAAGTCACTCATATCAATCACTTGATCACAATCAAGTAAAGCATAATCGTCCAGCTCATTATGTGTTGGCAGTGAAGCCTGGGGTTCAAGAATTTCGTCAATAATCTTCGTAAATACCCGACTTGCCCGTTGCAACAATGAATAATTAGAATTTCCAGGTTCTGCAACTGTGTCCAAATGAGAAATGAAGACGCTCAAACTTCGAATCAGAGCAGGCCTCGAGCCTTCGTATAATAATGGTTCTCCAGTCCGATTTTGACTCTGGAGGTCTTTGACAAGGATGCTAGCACTGGGAATGCCATAAAGCAGAATCTAGAGGAGCATTTAGCTTGTTTGTTATAGACTTTTTAGAAGTAACTTCCAATGCATACTAGCCAGGTAAAGTCCGGTCGTAAGTCCACAGTCTGATCACGTCGAGTTCCAATTATTAGAACAGCAGACAAGATATCTGAGCTGACAGATAATAGTGCACAACTCCCTCTAGGGTTTGTTTTACCAACTAGGAACTGGTGTACCAAGAATTCGTTGTATAGATACGCTAAATATGAAACAACGAGCATGATCGGAGTAGCGGTTGGGAGGTTCATCTCCCAGCACTGGGAGGTATATTTGAGATGGGCGGGTATTTCATTCCAAGATGCTTGGCATCTCTTGGAAATTCCACTGCATACTTCAGTAAGATGATCAGACTTTCCTCGGGGATGAATTGAGATCTTACAGTAGCGTGGCCGCAGTCTCAGGGGTGTCCTTCTGCAATGCAACTTCGAGAATCTCATCACGAAACCCACATATGATCGAACGAGCTCGCATCCAGGAGGCAGGGTAAAAGAGGCCGCAAGTACTCCAGCCATTTATGTCAACTTGATCGAGGGAATAGGTCAAATTCCCATTATCTGTTGAAAATGCCTCGTCACTAACATCAAGCGGTAGACCACAATCAGCATATCTCGTTGGTATGCGAGGTGGTCGGCCCAGAAATGTTGCGATACTTTTGTCCACCCTGTAGGCTGCTGCAAAAGTACGCCGACGGGATTCCAGGAGGAATTCCGGCGTTTGAGTTGAATTTTTTGAATTACGATGGAGGCCAAGTGCAAAGATGTCCGTAGATAGCTCGCCGAGTTTATTCCAAGTTTGGGGACCTTGAAGTTATTAGGAAGAAAAGTCGACTTGGAAAATTTCATAAGGCCTTTGCTCACTTGAATTTCCATCTGCAGCAAGGCAGAAGAATAAATTTTCTTGCACCAGCCAAATGGTAAGATCATTCAAAGGGGTCAGGATTTTGCAAATATGAAGTGCAGCATCGCTCGCGATGAGCATCTTCTTCGAAAATTGTAAACGCTGTTTCTCGTTGTCAAAGTTTTTCCCAGCGAGTCCCAGATATGCTGCGCGCCCGGCCAATGAGCAAATCACTCCGAGTATCTCTAAACGAATAGCCTGGCCGGTATATAAAGAGTGAAAGTCTTTCCCAGCCACCGAAGATGGAACTTCAAAAATATTGGCCGTATTCTGGATCACTTTCGTCGTTAATAAAGACCTAAATCCACCAGCCTTGTGGGAAGAAAGAAGACCCTTGGTCATATTTTCAACTGGGGCCAGACTGTTCAAGATGAATGGCTCAGGAATCACAGAGGCCTGACTCAATCCATAATATTCGCGAATGACTGCTTCGATTGGAGCAAAGTCCGTCAAAGCAAGCAGGAGATCAGAGACCTTCTGAACCCAAAAAGAGGGTAGAACTCGCGGTGGAATTTCCATTTCAAGACCTCGGCCATCCGACGAGAAGTCCACATCGTCACATAGTGATGACACAAAGCTCGTCGGACCAAGGTACCCTGTGAGAAATGGTTTATTCCGATATGCCGACTCAACTTGAGCTTGTGTGCCAGACTCAGCGGGCATCCCCGGGGCTCGGTCAAACGGGATACCTTCAGTGAGCGGCACGTGGCTCCGGTCTCGTAGCCGCGTTAATGGCGCTGGGTGATAAAAGCATTCCGACGCAATCCCGCGAGCTTTGCACCGGGAACAAGGGGCACTCATATGATCGCACCGTACCTTATTACGCCGGCATGGCTCGCATGAGGGGCGTTTGCCGTTGCGGCGCCGCGCACTGTTCCCATTGTGTCAATATATTGAGTCCTACAATCGGATCAAGCCACGTACCTCATTGTATGTTATAGCGAGGACTATAAGCACTTAGTTAAAATATATTGAGCAGAAAACCCATTGAATGTTGTCGCTTGAGGTGAAGCGAAGTGAGGTGAGGTGAGGTGCTAGAAGTCGGGTTCGGCGTTGGTCACACCAGATTACTCCGAAACACGAGTTGAACGCCGAGAATTCCGAAGTGGATCAGAGTGACGGAGTGACGGAGTGACAGATTTACAGAGTCGGAGTCGGAGTCGGAGTCGGAGTCTTTGATTCACCTGTTTGAAGGCTAGTCCCGATCGGGTAAATGCCATGGTTGGGTGGTGGAGTGGACCTAGGCGGATCTCCAGGGAATTGTCATAGTTAGTAGCCCGTCTAGATGTTCGTATATCAACATTATCGACATTCTTGACATTATCTTATCTATGGAGGACATGATAGAGTAAGATTTCAATTTTGATCTACAACAAACCACTCAGCGTAGCATTGGAGGGGCCCAATAGAGGGAGATAAGGCGATAACGTGCGGGGGAATGGAATGTCACGGGGCCTGCTGCAGCCCAGTCTTTCACCGTAAAACCAGTCTCGCTGGTCTCTTCTCTTGTCATTATCTCCTGGATATAATGACTCTTGAATCTGAATCTTCTTCTACCATGCCAGCCCCCGAACCGGCGTCTGCAGCCCATCGCTACAGCAAGCATATCATCGTAGGGCTCCCTATACCTTAGGATGGGAAGCTTCCCTGTCTCCCTTCTCCCCTCCCTATCTCTAGTGGCGAGAGAACCGTTGAAATGTTAACCAGCAGCAGTTGACCACATACCCTGGCCAAAGTGGAATCGAACCAGTTCCTCTGGAATGGGGTGCGCCCGATGCCAAAGCTCGCGGGCCGATCGTCGTTTCTCGAAGAGATAACCTCGTCAAACGCCGCAATGCGATCGGCGCCCATGGCGGTAGCTATAGCATCTACAATGCTCTGGCAATTGCCTCGGGTGACTTGGACGCTGATTTCCGGCCGGACCTGCGAAACAGTCAGCCCACCTTCGATTTTAACTGGCAGCCTGCATGGGCCGACAAGACCAAAATCGTCTCGATGGATCCGTACGGCCATGATATAGTCAACCAATACCGCGAGGAGCTCGAGGCCGGATGGGACATTCGGCCCACTATGGCAATCACTCGGGCTAATATGAAGCTGGCGGAGATTGGCGAAGCAATCCGTGAGGATCGACTGCAAGTCGATGGTAATATTCTTGTCGATTCCTCCGGCGAGGTTCGAGTCACAAAGGTCGCAGTTGAACCGGTTTGGTTCTTAGCCGGTGTTGCTGAGCGCTTCGGCGTGGATGAAGGAACTCTCCGCCGGACTCTATTCGAGCAGACTGGAGGCAGCTACCCGGAGTTGATCACTCGCCCTGATCTAAAGGTCTTTTTGCCGCCAATTGGAGGCCTGACGGTTTATATCTTTGGTCCACCGGAACGAGTCTCAGATGAGAATGTCAAGCTTGCACTGCGAATTCATGACGAGTGTAACGGTAGCGATGTATTCCAATCGGATATCTGTACCTGTCGACCCTATCTCGCCTTTGGTATTGAGGAGGCCATTAATGAAGCCCAGAATGGAGGTTCCGGTAGGTACTTAACTCGGTGGATACCTGATCCCTTCTAACGTAATATCTTTTAGGAGTCGTGATATACTTCCGCAAGGAAGGCCGTGCACTGGGAGAAGTGATCAAGTACCTCGTGTACAACGCGAGAAAGCGAGGCGGAGACACCGCTGACAAGTATTTCACTCGAACGGAGAACATCGCCGGCGTGCGGGATGTATGATACCCAGCCCTTTTTCTTTTCTCTCTTTTTTGAAGAGGTCATTCTGACAATTTTCTTTACACAGATGCGTTTCCAAGCCTTGATGCCGGATATTCTGCACTGGCTCGGCATAAAGAAGATCGATCGCATGCTTTCCATGTCAAATATGAAGCACGATGCGATCGTCGACTCTGGTATCAAGATTCTCGAGCGGATTCCTATTCCGGAGGAAATGATCCCCAGCGATTCCAGAGTTGAGATTGATGCAAAGATCAATGCTGGCTATTTCACTACCGGCAAGCAGTTCACGATGGACGAACTTGCCCAGGTTAAAGGGCGTGGCTGGGAGAAGTGGGAGGATATCACTGTGAGCATTATTCCAGACAGTTCCATTTCCGATCATACTAACGCCGTTTTAGCATTGAACAGGGCTTGTTCCTCCCGTCATGCAGCGGTGAAGGCAATGCTTTCTTTTCCTCTCGGGCATTTTTTATTTTTCATGTTTCATTCTGGTTCGTTGCATGTTTCCAGGAGTTGCCCATAAACCAGGCATAAATGGTGCTAGTATTTAAATATAAAAAAAATCAAAGCATATGCATCAGATAAAATTCAAGCAAGGTAGACTTCAAGGTCCTTGTGGCAGTTGAAAACTGATGTGATCGACATTTTCCCTAGCGCCGATAGTCGGTCCAGCTCCGATCTCCAACATGGCGTTGCCCCCCGCGTTACCATACCAACTGAAGGTAGAGCTACATGCGATCTTCTGGCTCTATCGCGTATGCTAAATAAATGTCGCGTTAAAGTCCAAGCCCACTGGCAGTCTATATGCTCACCAGTGTTTGAAGAGACACATGTGCTACGGTATATGTGTCTGCA